CATGTTTCAAAAACGAGAGCCGAAAACCTCAATATAATTATCAAAATTAAATTGAATTAACGTCTCAAGCCCTGTTTCATTGTCAAGCAAATATATATATATATATTAGCAAAAACACATACAATATACAAAAATGGAGAAAAGTTTAAAATGATACAGACAACATAAAAAGAACAAAGATCTCCTTCCTTTGACCTTCCTCTGATCAATTCTAATTGTTTTATTACCTCTTACGCAAAGGAATATTTTTCCGCCAGTCCAAGAAAAATTTGGATTACTACCACACACGAAAGACAATGGTTAAACATAGGAAAATATAAGAAAAAATAAAACCTTTAAATAATATGTGGAAATAACCACTCTTTGTCTGATGAAGATCACAAAACCTGAAACTGGTGTAGCAAAAAATATAGAAAATAAAGTATAATATACAAAAAAATCCACATTATAACCAAAAACCTTTACAACTTCTTTCTCTATAAAATACACACTTGTCTCTCATTGAAACTATAATCACTCCCTTTTTATATATATATATATGTATGTATGTATATATATATATATAGAAATTGAATTCAAAATATGAATGAATTGCACATTTACATGATTCACAAGTCAAATTGCAACTCACAAATTCGACATTAGCACAAGTTTGTTCTATCTTCAAATGGAACAACAATACACTGGTCTTCCTTTCAAAACAATAATTTTTTTACTCCTGGAGTACAAGACATGATGAAGTGATTGAGCAGTTAATTCTAATGTATTTTTTAAGTTAAACTCAACAACCAATTGTGACCATTGTGACGCCCTCTGATAAAAGAAAATTATGATGGGAAAAGAAAAGAAAAAAAAATTGGTTTTTGAATTGGCGCCTTTCGCAGATTGCTCTCGCAAGCAACATCCAGCCTACCAGAAATATTTGCCAACAGTAAAATGAAATATTCATAAATAACTGCAGATGACAATAGTCAGCTGAGTAATTGATTATTTTGTCAGATCCTTTTATATTTGACTTTTTTATCATTTTTTTTCTTTTTCTATGCCATTGCTCAGTTTAAATTGTTTCTTTGAAATTGTAACATTCATTTTTTTTGTTCTGAAGTAAATTGCAATGATTACAAGAAAAAGATCAAAAAAAATTATTCATTCATTTACAAAAGATTTTTTTCTTTAGCCCACAAAGACATGTAGATCTCATGCTGATAAGTTTGGTAACGGCTGAGAAAGTTGGTTGCTTGACTGGCTGCTTAATTTTTAATGGCATTTTAACAGCTATGTGTTATTTAATGCCAAAATCGAAATAATTTGAATGCAATCTTATGGCTTAAACTAAATATATTTTGAACACAATTGTATGCTTTCAACTGCAGATAAAATGTATAGTTGGCAATTTTTTATATCTAAAAATGTATTGATAGTATTTTTACAATAAAAATGTATTTTTATACTTTTATAGGGTTTTGTTTGGAGGTTCTTTATTTGCCCATACCTAGGACCCTAACAGGTGCTACCACCTCGGTTCAACCGAGAAAGTAGTCACCAAAACAACAGCATTTCTTCTTTGAATATTTCTGTTTTTGTAGTAAAGCAATTCAAAATGACTTCCAGATTCTGTTCTGCTATCCACTTGGTCAAGCCCATTAAGTACGTCACATGTTGCTTTCCCCTGTCCCTCTTTCCGCCCTGTGAGTATCAGATTTTCCAAGCCCTCCTTTCTCATTACGTTTCTCAGAAATTTCAGCTGCTTCTTCCTGATGTTAATTACAAGTTTCTTCTTTGTTTCCATTCTCTCCCAAACCTTATCGTTGCTTACATGTTCAGCACTTGATATCCTTAGCATCCTTCTGTAGAACCACAATTTAACCTGCTAAAATATCTAAAATATATAATGTTCCACTTGCACTGTATAAATGTTTGAGATTACTGACAGATAAACAGTTTTTAATGTCACTATTTATCAATGTCTTTAATCTTACTAATTTCATTAAGTAAGGATAGTAAATGGAATATAAATAATTCAGCTTTGAATAAGTTTAACTCGGATAAAATTAATTCCAAGAGCTTACAATATCACATAACGATGTCTACATCTCATAGAATTATTCATTAATCTGTGTTGGAACAAAAGTTTACAGCATTTTTTAAGTGGATTTCAAAGACAATATTTAGATATTTGTACATAGATTTATTCAATCATATATGTCATTTTGTTCCACTACTTGCTGCCATCTTTGATGCCACTTCATGATTCCATCCTCCCAGAACTTGGCATCTCTGAGTGTCTCTTTACAGGCTTCAAAAGAACTGAAGGTGTTTCCATTAAGAGAATTCTATAGGCATCAAAATAAATGGTAACCCAAAAGATCAAGATCAGGTGAATACAACGAGTGTAGTAAGACATCCCAACCAAACTGTGACAATTTCTGATGGATCTATAGAGACACAAATTCTGACATTGTTTTATTGGGAGATGACGCCTTTCCAATTGGCCAATTCCAGATATTTTTCATTAATTGTTGCCTTTAATCAGTCCAGCTGGTAACAGTACTTGTCTGAATTTAACATCTAATTAAGCAGGAGGGACTCTTAATACACAATGCCCTTCCAATTCCTAATACACAACATCAACTTCTTCAGATTCAAACTGGTTTTCATTTTCCCCATGTCTTTGTTCACTCCACATTGTTGTAAACAATCCATTTTTCATCGAGTGCAGTCATTCTTTGAACAAGTGTCATTTTTTTGAGTGAGCAGAGAATTGCAGATGGAAATGTAGTCTATTAAATATTTTTCATTAAAGTTGAGAAGTACACCCTTGTGCAAATTAACTGAAACAACTGCTTTAGTTTACTTTCTTTCACCATATGGTCAGTTTTAGACCCACTGGAGTGACAGGGTGTAGTTGATTTCTATTTTTTCCTCAGATTAGGTCATTTACAGTGGTGTGCAGTAATATGAATCTATTTTTGGGGTGTATGACGAAATTTGTTTGGCCTTGAAAGATACTGCATCAAATTTTTATCATGCCTAGACACTACTGTCTCAACTATCAATTAGTTGTCTTACAGCCATTGTTTGTAATGGATGTTACTCTAAGGAAGTGCACAAAAATTGTAATGTTGCACAAACACACAGGCAAGCTTTACCAGTAAGCAAATCGAAGTATTATAGATTGGCCTGGAAACTCTCCTGATTTAAATCCAATCGAGAATCTGTGGTCAATCTGCAAGGAACGACTTCTTGGAATGGAAATACGAAGTACTAACATGTGCACTGAGTCATGTTTCATTGGAAAAATACAAAAACAAAGTAAATAATAACAGAATTATTCGTTTTGTTGCAATTAATTAGCACAAGGTGTATATAGTAACAATTCACATATCCAAGTGTTTTCAAGTACCTTAAAACACTCATATAAGGTATGTAGAATATCTCCCCAATGTTCCATGTCATGTGACTAGGATTATTTCTAGTTAACATTTTTGGCCTTCCAGATCAAAATTTCCAATTCTCAACCTAACAAAACACCTACGAACAGTACTCATCATTTCCATAAACAGCTTTTATCTTTTTTTTGTAGTTTATACAGCAATTTTCTCTTTCCAGAAATGATAGAACATCAAATGATGAAAATATGGCTTATTTTCCTGCATTTTCACAAGACACAAAAAAGTGTCTGTCTATATTTCTGAGATGAGGTATTTATGTACACTATTTACATTATTCAGACTATTGTCCTCATCTTTGTCCCAATATTTATTACAACGTTTCAGCTGCTGCATGATCCGGCCTTCTTCAGGTGGTTGGAATGTCGAACTGAACCCTTCATTTCACTCACAGGGCTAGACTGTTCTAGTTCCACATGCCATGTCTAATGGATGTCAGTTATCTCCTATTAATTCCCCTCTCCAAGTTCTCCACTGCCTTAGCCAGGTATTGAACTCACACTCTTTGGGTCCTGGCACAATGGATAAAGGCATTAGTTAGATCCAGTGACAGGACCCAAAGAGTGTGAGTTCAATACCCAGTTAAGGCAGTGGAGAACTTGGAGAGGGGAATTAACAGGAGATAACTGATAACTGACATCCATTAGACATGGCAGGTGGAACTAAAACAGTCTACCATAGTGAGCGAAATAAAGGGTTAGGTTCGACATTTCAACCACCTGAAGAAGGCCAGAGCATACAATGGCTGAAACGTAATAAATATGGTGACAGATGAGGACAATAGTCTGAATAATGTAAATTGTGTACAAAAAAGTGTATCAAAAGAAATGTCACTTTTCAAAATATCAATGAGAAATTTCAGTCACAAATTTTGTTTCAGTGAAACCAAATCACGTGTCAAATAGCATCTATTGTAAAATGATACAAACTTTTTATTCCAACCCAATATATCTGTCCGTATCTCTGAGGTGAGGTATTATGATTACTTGCATCATTTACATTATTCAGACTGTTATCCACATCTTCTTTGCCATGTTCACAATGTTTCGGCCACATGGCCCAGTGGATAAAAATACTGATTAGATCCAGTAACTAGACCCAAAGAGTTGTGAGTTCAATACCAGGCCAAGGCAGTGGTGAACCAAAATTTGGAGAGTTGAATTAAAGGGAAATAACTGAGACATCCAGAAAAGGCATGGCACATGGAATTAGAACAACGTAACCCAGTGGACAATATAAAGGGTTCAGTTCGAAATTCCAATCACATGAAGACGGCCGGGGCATACAATGGCCGAAACATTTTGAATATGGCAGTAAAGATGAGGATAACAGTCCAAATAATATAAATAATGCAAGTAATTAATATATCTATATATATATATATATATATATTCTATTTCTTTTTAACAATGTTATCATCTTGCAGATGTGTGCATCCAATTGCGACAAAATAAAATAATTTCTGTTCCAAATGTTTTGGCTAAGTTTTTCTACTTTTTTCTTTATTCTCCTGATCAGATTGAAAGTCAATTGAACAAGAGAGTCACTTACTTTGTACGAATGCATTTATCCAGGGGAGGAACGAGATCGTCATCTGAGGGGGCTTTAAATTCAGACCTTGTTGTATCTGAAATATCAAAAATGCTAATAATAAAGTTTATATTAAAGGAAAAAACATTTTTTATAAAAGTGATTAGCACTAAATTACATTAGCTAATTAAAATGAAAATTGTTTTAATTTCACCACCTGCCACAATATGTTAAACATATTTTTTTGTGAATTAATTAAACACAATTCCCAAAAGATTATCTCCTACATTCAAGTAGAAAAGCCACAATTCTCATATTGTAAAGCAAATCATCAGATTGGCCAATTTAACTCATGTAATTCAGCATCTAGTTGTTTGTCTTAATAATAACAGCTAGATACTGAATTAAAGACACTAAATGTATAATCCTTCAAATAAGCAGCATAAAATAATCTGTTACTTTATATTTTTAAATGTATTTTCATTATAAATATCACTATAGTAAATGGCACCCTGGCCATTGGGTATTTGGTAATAACAAGTGGGGTTCAAGAAAGTGTTTCATAGTTGATTGATTCATTCATTTTCTGCAGCTTATCAACCCTTTGCACATTATTTAAAATCAGAAAATATTTTTAGAACTATATACTATAGATATGCATGGAAATTGACTTTACTATAGAAATGCACTGACATTGACTTTACTATAGAAATGCATTAAACAGAAAGAAAGGGAAATGTTGATAGGAGTTAATACAAATTTTATTAATAGAAGGTATAAGTTATTTAAATATACTTCAACATTTAATGGTATATCAAAATCCTTATGGGTCATTTAATGCCAAAATTTAATTTTCTTCAGAGCTTGGGAGTAATAAAAATATGTTATATGTTATTCTGCTTTCACAATTGAAAACATGGTAGATGATACTCAGCATTTTTGCATATTTTTGTGTGGACATAATTACTAGAGGTGGTAATATATATGTTTTGTTGTGATTTTATTGACGTTATATTTTAGAATACAGTTTGATTTCTTTTAGAAATTGTAGGATATTATATGAATTAATGTCATGAAAGAGTTCTTGTTGGTTGATTTTGTTTAGGAACATATAAACCTATGTATTATTTAATACTGAAATCTAAATATTTCAGACACAATTGTATGCCTTCAACTACAGAAAAAATGTACTGTGTCATTTTGCTATGAAATGTGTTGTTGGTCATTTTTTATATAAAAATGTATTTTTATATTTCCATAGTGTTTTATTTTTGTTTAGGGGGTCAGTCTTTGCCCATAGCTGGGAATCTAACAGATACTGTGGGTTGTGACTGAAGCATCATCTGTAAACATCATGTCTGATCAGAGCCTCCTGTACTTTTGTTTTGGACTTGAGGTGTACAAGATTAAACAGCCTGCCGTTGAATCTGGTGTGAAGGTAGACCTCACTCTGTTGTCATGTCAAAGGCAATCTTCAAGAGCGAAGCAAAGATCACAAAGAGTGTTGGGGCAAGGACACCGCCTTGTTTGATTCCTCTGTGTATGTCAAATGGCTCCAATGTGCTTCCGTTATACTGTACTGTTCCCTTCATGTTGATGTGAAAATAGGCTCTGCAGTTTTAGTGGGTATCCTATCCTAGGCAGGATCTTCAATAGACCTTCTCTGTTAACCAAGTCAAACGCCCTCATGAGATCAATAAAGGTGATGTACAGTGGTATGTTCTTGTATCATGTGACTAGTGTCAGATGACTACATGTCAAAAGGGAGGTAATTCTGCTTCTGCCACTCTAGTTCATCCTATTTCTTTTATTTTTATTGGACTTTTGGTTCCTACAAATGCCTTCAGCTGTCGGATGTTGTGCTAAAGTAAACAACTTTTTGTGTATCTGTCAAAAATTCAACTCAAGACTCCAAAAGAAAATGGATTTCACAAAGAAAGGTTTCAATTTACTAACCAATGGTGAGTCGTATGGGATCTTGTTGTCTGGCAAGACCATCGTAATAATAAAGATCAAATCGTCTCTCGGCTCTCCAGTCACTTATAAGATCTTGTTTCATAGAAAAGAGAACGCTGAAATGACTCTCACTGCAAACAATCCAAATCGGATATTTGGGGGTTTTATAGTAGCTTCCCACCTGAAATAAACAGACAGGGATTAATTTCTAAATATCTGAACATGTTTGATAGGATTTACCACAACAATTTTAACAATATACGACAAACAGATGACATTGTTTTGATGACAGTAAAAGAAAAGTGCAGGAACTTCTAGACGAGGCAATAAAGGAAAGTGGGAAGAAAGGACTAACTATCAATTGTAAGAAGACAGAATGTACAGTCTTCAGTATGAGGAACAAGCCAAGATATGAGCTATAAATTGGAGATTTCAGAATCAGAAATTTAAATATCTCGGAATTGTTTTAACAGATGGAAATTATGGCACCAAAATGGAAAGGTACATAGGACCAGCAAAAGATGCCTTCCAAAACCAATCAAAATACAGGGTGTTCCAAAAGTTATATTACCTTTCATAACATTTTATATTTATTTACCAAATGGAGTCATGTTTCTGTATGTGACAATATATGATTAAGAATTTTTATTGGTCAAATTATGGAAGATGATGTCATGCAAATTTTCCCTGGTTGGTATTTTACAAGTCTTATGTTTTCTGCCAATTGTCATGTCACTTTTAGAACACTCTGTATTAACAAACAGAAAATTTTCTAAACTACAATGTAATATCAATTCTTGTATATGGCAATGAATGCAGCAGAAATGCCACATAGGCGGATAAAATACTTGCAGCAACTGAGATATGGTTCTACAGAAGGATGCTGGAAATAACATGGAGGGGGCATCTTCGTAATGAGGAAGTACTAAGGAAAAGAGAAACAAAAAAGACACTTTTATTCAGAATTAAACAGTTGAAATTTCTCAAACCTCTAATGAGGAAAGATGCTTTGGAGAATTAGACACTCACAGGACGTACTGAAAGCAAAAGAGATCGAGGGGAACCTAATCTTGTGTAAATTGATGGCAGAATAAAGAGTGAGAGCAATGGGGGAAGAGACAAACCTTACAAAGAACTACAGAGAATAGGAACTTATAGGGTGCCATCCATTTTACACAAGCTTGTTAGGTTATTTACTATTTCCCTCTGTACCTCTTTCCTTAAATATCTCTTGTGAATGTCAAATTCTCCAAGCCTACCTTCTTCACTATTTGCTTTTGAAATTCAAATTGTCTTTCTGATTCTATGTATCCTTTTTGCTTCTATTTTTCCTAAAACTTCTTCATTACTCACATGTGTAGTCTATGGCATTCTCAGTAATTTTCTGCAGAACCAAATTTCTGTTGTCTCAAATCTTCTCTTCATCTGTGAGATTGCCCTTTAGGAGGACCAATTTTACATAACAGTTCCAACATTTTCAGTGTTTCCTGATGGTTCTTAATTATAACCAACTTTTGCATTTTTATATCCCCCATCCCTTTCCTACATATATAATTCCATCAACAAAAACATTACTTTAGTCCAATGAATTTCTTCTAGAGGACAAAATTGGTTATACTGACTTTTTTAATTTTCCTAATATTGTTCTGATTTATAGAAATTTATATTATCTGTTTCCTCATAAGGAAATATTTTATATGAACATATATATATATATATATATATATATATATATATATATATATATTCATATAAAATATTTCTGTTTATAGATGGGCTGAATATTTTTCAACAATATCTTCCAAGTTTCTGATAAGCATTCTGTTTGGATTTTTGCAAGATTAAATGCAGTCTCTTGAATTCAGTGGTCTACTTCTATAATCGGTTTTTAAATCAATTTTAATTAATTTGATCATATTTTCATTTGATTTATTCTTTGGCTCCTAAAATCTAAAAGATGAAAATTATAACAGTTTTAATAGCTTAATTAGCTACAGAAAAACATCCATGAATGACAAGTTCTTCAGGTAGACTACAGTCATTTGAATCTTGTGAGAAACTACTATTTGATTCCAGTATTTCAGGAAAAAGGTCAGCATCTTTTTTTATTATCAATAATCTACAAAACTGAAATTTTTCTATTTAATAGTCCACCTGCAACCCACCAATTATGCACATGTGAAATCTTTAAAGTACTAAAACGATCAGAAGCTTCTTATAGAAACTTTCTTCAAGGACACATGGCACAATGGATAAAGGCATTAGTTAGATCCAGTGACAGGACCCAAAGAGTGTTAGTTCAATACCCAGTTAAGGCAGTGGAGAACTTGGAGAGGAAAATTAACAGGAGATAACCGATAACTGACATCCATTAAACATGGCATGTGGAACTAGAACAGTCCATCCCAGTGAGCGAAATAAAGGGTTAATTTCGACATTCCAACCACCTGAAGAAAGTTGGAGTGTACAACGGCCGAAACGTAATAAATATGGCGACAAAGTTGAGGACAATATTCCGAATAATGTAAATAGTGTACATAATACCTCATCTCAGAAATATAGACAGATACTTCCATAATGTTTTGATATGTTAATTATTTGCCCATAACTGGGACCCTGACAGGTGCTACCACTCTGGGTCAGGGTGGACCTGGGAACACCAGCAATTAAGAGGTGATTCTATGCTCCTCAAAATCTCCTGATCAAAGGTCTTGCTGTTGGATGTAGTTTATAGTCTTACCCAGAATGTGGATGTAGTTTATCGTCTTACCCAGGACAGCAAAATTACATGAAAATGCAATGTAAGTATGCATTGCAGAATATCATGAGCACTACATTTAGTTTCATCGATGTTGCTATTTGTATTTAACACTTTTACAACAATCAATTCATCCAGGTTTTTATGTACAAGTTTTACTGGCTTTTCTCTTGTGTTCCACACTGTCTTTCTGATTCATGCTTGACAGGAATCTTAAAATCCTTCTGCAGTTTGTTCCATCGTGTTGTTGAAAAACAAAAATTATAAATGGCTTCCATGATTAAAAAGAAAAAAAAAAAAAAGGTAATGACTGGTTTCATTATTTTCAGCATGAAGACATGTTAATTCAAACTATGAATTGTCACAGTTTATGAACATTGCTTTGAGATTTTTGTCATGGATTCTTTACTTAACGCTTGACAGACTGAACAGAAAGTTCAGCCATGTCTAATTTTGTTTGCTTAATATTGGAAGCATCTTTTTTTTCCTTTATTTGTATAAAATCAATTAATGATTTTTGGACTTCATTTTTTCTTTCCTCAAAGTTAATGTTAATAAAGCGAACGATTTGAACTAATTGCTGATGAAGGATTAAATCAAGCATTGGATTAAGCAGAACGCCAGGATATTTGTTTCTGCAAACTGCATATAAATAACAACTTTGCAAATTTGAAGCTATCAGATTTATATAATTTGGGATGTCATGAAAATGATATGACATTAATATAGACACCACCACTGAATTTTGAATACAAATGAAAAAGCAATCTGGACGCTTTCATTTTAGCTTTAATTGAAAACAAAATATTCTGGTGTATTTCAAACAGAAATTATATTAATAGAAATCCAAACTTTTTGGCTGCTTTCACAAAATCAGCCATTTTTAATACATTTGTAAACAAAAGTTAATTCTTGGTTTTAAAAATCTTCCAAAAATATACTTTCCTGAAAATTTATTTGAGAAATATTAGCTGATTTAAAGTATAATTAATCTGATTTGAAAAAATATTATTCAAGTTTAGAATGACAGAGACTGTCACTTGTCACTAATAGATTACTTAACAAGTGATGTAAAAATCTGTCAACACCTTTACTGTTGTTCTACAAAGACTTTATCTGTTAAAACATTTAAGAAAATGATGGGCGAGCACCTTTCTTATATAATTTTTAAGTACTCAATAATCTTAAAAATGTTGGAAAATATTCTCCATAATCTAATTTTAGAAATGTTGAATTTAAATTTACTATAGTCATTGCTCTTATTTTCTGATTATGTCATGTATGGTTAACCATACTTTCTAACAGGAACAAGTTACATAATATTTTATATACATAAAACAAAAAAAAAATATTGGGTGTAAATGACTTTTATTAAGCTTTTAAATTTTTGATTTGTAAATATAGTTTTCATTTAATAAGAATATCACCTAACCAGATTGAAGTAATGCAGAATTTTAAATGATTTATAATATAAATTATTATAATTAAAATTTTTAAAATGAAAAAAAATTCTTCAAATTTTTTTTTTCTTACGGCAATAGTGTCATTAATAAATATTTATAAAAGGCAATCAAAAGCTTTTCTAATTAAATAATGTCATAGTTTTATTGCATTTTTTATTTTAAGATTCAGAGCAAATTTTCAGGAAATAAGTAGTAGTTTGAAAAAAGATGAATGATTTACATTCTTCAAAGAGTCCTGTTTTAACTGATAAAACAAATTTTAAGATTGCAATTTAATTTATTGAAATTCCATGAAATTAAGCAGGGGGCAACATAAGTTAAAAAAAAAAAAAAAAATTTCTCAAGATTTAAAAACAAAATAAATAAATAATTTTTTTAAAAAGATAATTTCATTCATTTGTGAATAAGACCTGAAAGTTTCATTAAAATCCAACCACTATTTGATTTTTGCAAGAATTGCCAAATCAATGTGTTTTCCACCAGAAAAAAAAAGCAGCAAAAACACTAGTCATAAATATTACATCAATTACAGACATTAAAAAAAAAAAAATTAAGATTTTTAGCCAAAATTTTGAACGTGCTAGATAAGATTAAAAAATTTAGTAAAATAAAAAAGTACTTTGGTCTTTCCTCTTAAAAATAAACATTTTGACTATAAAACTTTATTTTTATTAAGTTTGGGGTCTTTTTCATCATGCTATGCTGTTTTTTCTGTGAGCAAGTGGAGGTACCTATATTAATAGCTGCTTGTTTTTTGACATGCTATAAATGATTTCTCAAAAGTGGATCATAATTGCAAAATCAACAGGAAATTTCCAGAGATTCTATTTGAGGTCATGTCCTCAATATGACCACAAATGCAAAAGTCTATGAAACTGAGTATTATTTACACTATTTATAGCCGGCATCTTTGTTGTTATCAAGTTTCAGATGTTGTGCCTTCCAGGCTTCATCAGGAATTCCTAATTGAATCCTTTATTTAATCCACATTGGTAGATTTTTCTCATTCCTTTACCCATGTCTACAGATATCTCATCTAGATCCTATTCTTAAACTTTGCAGATGACACCCCAGTGTATGTGTGCATCTCCAAATATTTGTATGATCTCACCTTTGACCTAACGCTTAAGGAGGAAAAGACTGGCTGATATCATTGTGGTTGTAAAGAAAAGAAAAGACTGTCAACTTTTAGTAGCAACAAACGTCTGCAATAGATTTCTTCTGTCTCTTGACGTAACACTTGTAGCCAAACCACAGTTTAAACAATGGCCCGTCATAACAGTCCAACAAGCAGCGTAGAAACGACAAAATGGGGTCACATGTCCAACCTTCACTTCTCACCAGCAAAAACACGTGTTCGTCTCCCCAGCTCAGAAAATCTCCTGCCTTTATAAACAAAGAACAACGGCTTTTGTTCACTGAGAGATCTTACGGATTGGTCACGCCATTCAGGGGAGGGAAGAACATTAGCATAGATTCTGGTCCTTAAAGTAGATTTTTTTTTTTTTTTTTTTGCTGACTAATTTTTGGTAATTTTTCTTCGGCAGATTGCACACAAATTCTTTTTTGAGGTAGCTGATTATCTCTTTCACTACAATCATTCAATACTAAAAGCAAACCCTGCTCCTGCACCAATCAGGATCAGGATTACCAATGAGACGTCAGACCCAACCTACTTCTCATCCGTGTCAGGACCAGATATCAAAGACTTTACATTTCAGAATTATCTTATATTGACCATTTTTCTATTTGTAACTGAGAAATCCTATTGTCTCATATGACAGGCACCATGAGTTGCTGGTGTCCATATTGGCTGTATTTTTCTAGAGGAAAATTTGCACCTCATCTGACAGTATTTCCCCACTTCACACCCACCCTGCTCTTGATACACCCCCATTGATTATATGAAAATAATGCATAGTCAACAAGATCAAAACCACTTGATCAGTTTCATATACAAATGTCCAAGAAAGTTAGAAAAATAAAAAACACAAATTTACACGAACACTGACATATCTATGGGTCATGCCATTAGAGGCAAGATTTTTCAACTGAGAAAGGTTTTCATACAAAATCACAACTGGATAATACAATGGAGGAATGAGATTTTTTTTTTTTTTTTGACAGGAACTGCAAAAAGGGACAAAATTGAAAATATGTAAAAACAAAAAGGTTACATAAAAGGCATAAGTGAAAATAAACAAAAGAAGAAAAAAAAACAAAACATTGGTACAGGTCATATTTAAAGCAAATATAAGGATATTTATATCCCTTAGACATCATTCAGCAAAATAGAGATTCATTTAAATTAACATGATCGTCATTATAAAAATTAATCATTTATGCGTTTTTTTTATTATCATTGTTTTGTAAATAGAATTGTCTAAGCATGACAAAAGATTAAAAGTGGCACCATTTTTTTACCTGGCAGTTGCCATAATGTTCAAAGAGAGATAGAAATCCAATGTTGCTTCGATGTGGAATCCCTTTGAGAACAGTGACAATTCCAGTACCCCCATTAAGTTCCATTTTGTCATTAAATACATTTGAGACTGCTTGACCAGTCATAAACAAGTTGACCATCTCCTGCAAAATTCATCACAAATAAAAAATAAATTAAATTCTTTAAAAAAATTCAAAGAAATTACTAGAAATAGTGTTTTCTTACACATCTAGTACTAGATTTATAATAGTCTTCTGTTGTTCTAATTTCTTAGACTAGTCAAATATCCATTCTACAAACAGACAGAATCTCTAAAATTTTTGCATAAACATCATTTATCAGTAAGACATATATTTTATGAATTTCTTTTTGCCATTCAACTAAATCATAGCTACATAGAACTGACCAAACAATTTGAATAATTTTCCAATCTTTGTAATAATAATAATAATGAAAATGAATTCAGCAAACTTAATATTTTTCCCTTGTTTTGGTACATTTTAAGAAAATTTAATAAAGTATTTTGACTTATTTAGATAATTCCATAATATTTTTTGAACATCATTTGACTAACTTGTAGTAATGTGTAATAGCAGACAACAATAAGGCTTATTATGAATGCATAGATTTTCTAACTGATGACAGAATTTTGACATTTTGATAAATTCATTTTATACAAAATGAATGAAAAAATGGTACAGACATTTTATAAGTTCTCTGCATGTAGCAAGTGTAAATATGTGTATATAATTTTGTGTATGACTTGATGGTATAAAACTCTCTCTGCAAACAAAACATGGTTATCATTCTTTTTCTTTCAGCTATTCTGTTCCATCTGTGAAATAATGTATTATATCATGGAAATAATAATGCCCATAATGGGGGAAATGCAAACAGGGAGAATATTCCTTTCTTCCATAGCACACCCATTATCTTTTTTCTTTTTTTTTTTTCAGTAAGGTTCACCATGTACAAGGGTTACATTAAGAGGTGACTTATATGGATTTGGAGGTAACGGTTAACCCCAGACTTGAGCATGTTAAGATGCTAATGATCAAGGGAACATCCTCTTGTGACCATGATGCAATATTATTAACCCCCATTATCTTAAATGTCTGAAGATAATCATTTTTTTTAGTTATTGAATAGCTGAGTCAAGAAATGTGAACTAATAAACATCAGATATGGAAGCTTTTAATGGCCATAATTGTTATTCGCTTTATTTAAAATTCTTTTTAAATTAGAAAATAAAAATCAAATCTGATAGCAGATAAATAGTTGAATATTTACCTGAGAACAATAACTGTAAGCACCCAGCAATTTTCCATTGGGTTCATCCATTTCATTTCGAATTCTAAAAAGAAAAATCATTTCTTTCATATCTCAGCAAAGTTAGACATAAATTTGATTTATTAGCAGTAAGAGTAAAAATATGGTGATTGTGGACGTTTACATTGACACAAATTTTAGCTGTTTATTTTCTAAGGTATTTATTTCCTGTCAAAAGTTTTTTTATTTGTGCATACAATATAACAATTTACATTATTTACATCATTCAGCCTGTTGTCCTCATCTTTATTGCCATATTCACATCTTGGCCATTGCACACTCCAACCTCCTTCAGGTGACACTCATTTGAATTTCAAACCAAACCCTTTATTTAGTCCACCAGGATAGATTATTCTAATTCCAAGTTTCTGCTCCCTGCCATAGCCAGGCTTTGAACTCAAAACTCTTTGTGTCATGTCATCTCTTGGACCACTCAACCCTCCTATCCACTGGGCTGTGACGTTGTGAAATAAAGATGAGGACAACAGTCCAAACAATGTAAATAGTGTAAATGGTTACAATACCTCATCTCAGAAATATAGATAGATATTTACATTATGTTAAGTATTATAAGTTATCTGAACATTAAAATAGATGGGAAAATGTGAAGAAGATAGACAATAATATACTATTTTATATAAGGGAATTAAGAATTTATTGATTTTGATATCTGCATACAAAGTGGTGATTGTACTTTGAAGTGGTTTCAACATTATCTGACAAAAGATTCTCACACAATTTTGGCGCTTAGAGTAGCTTGAGCAAATTGGACTTCAAACAGTTAACCCAGATAATTCAAAACAAATATCTTTAATTTAACAGCTGAAAAAGAACAGATCATCTAAAAACCATAAAAAAGAAAATGCATATATAAAGACACTAATCAAAACTAATAATAAAATAGGCTTAATAATGAAAATTTCCTCAACTCAGAATAAAGTCAAAGAAAAAAGCAAAATAATGACTGCCTTATTATAAAAGGCTCTAGTAGTCAAAATAATTATGGTGATGTCAGATGAGAAATTCCAAAGGTTCAAGTAGATGGGTCATTCAAAATGGTTTCAAATTTCTCAAAAATTGAATTTTACTAATGAGCAATAAAAAGAAAACAAAAATGAAAAAACTTACAGTTCCTAACATTTGACATGCAGAATTTATTGAGTCACATTAACTTTGTTGAGACAATATAGAAAACCTTGGTCAAGGCCAGCACCAAGATCCCCAGTTCCAAATCACTGTGATAAAATATATTTTATGATAATGTCATTTACTATGCTTAATCTGACACAAGGCCATTACAGTGTGGCACTCATCAAAACTCACTTTTTAAGATGAGCTACTTAAACACAGTACTATTTACTGAGCTTACCTTAGTCTAACACAAAGGACACAGCAGTTCTTGGGGGGGGGGGCAGTCAGTAAAGAATGAACTTACTATAAAAACAAAGTGGTCAAAAAATTAAGATGTTGTGCTACAGTAGGCACCCAAAGATGAAAACAGACACAAGCCACATTTTAAAAAAGAAAAAAAAAAAATCAATGGATTTCAATTACTCCAAATAAAAAAATAACATCTTGGCCAGATTATTAAAGAAATGTTCGACAAGTGTAAAGGGAAATGGTGGTCAGCCTCCTATTCATAAGACCAGCATAATAGACAAAGCATATTAGGATCATTTTTCCAATGTATCTTGTAGGCTATCAAATACAACAAAGTTAATAAAATTTATTAAGCTGTGATGGGTCTGGCACAAGACTACAAATATGGAGCACTCAGTGAAAAAGTCATATACACTACAACAGTTATAGCTGGTAGCTAGTATGTTAAACATCAGTTTGTGGTAACAAGTGCTCAATTGATATTTGAAATTGGAAAATTTTATCAGTGTTCAAAGATTAACTATGTTATAATGGCAGTGATGACATTAGCCATTTCCATACAGGAAACATTTGGCATTCACTGACTAAACAGTTAGTATTTATGTCAGTTGAAATTTAGAAAATCTTTTTCAGATTTTCATGGGAATTAGACTTCTCAAGTCTGTTGTTATCTGGTTGACAGTCGACATTCAAAGTGGAGGTGTCATGTGTTGATAAACAAAAACTAAGTGTTGAAATGGTCGAGAAAATAGATGAAACAAGAGAGTGAAAGAGAACTAGATAGAAATTTTTTTGTGAAGAAAGAAAGAAAATGTGAATTCAAGGAATTAAGAGATTCTCTGTAAAACACACGAAGAAATAGCTGACCTTTATTTACATTATTCGGACTATCATCCTCATCTTTGTTGCCATATTTATCACAATCATTTCAGCTGCAGACTGTTCTAGTTCCATGTGCCATGTCTAATGGATGTCATGTGACGAAAGACATGAATTACCTCAGAATTCAAAACGAGCATGAATGTGTCTTGCCTGCAAAGTGATGACAAAAAGAAATATGGCCGCTATTGACAACACAATTTATGCACACATATCTCATCCAAAACGAGACGATATTTGCACACATGCAAATTTTGGCCGTCTTGGAATAGCAGCACCAAGGGTCAGGGAGTCATTCGGCGGACTGCATGTAATAGAGTTGGACGTACGGATTTGATAGACAGACAAAGAGGAAGTCGAAGTAGGTGCGGATGAGTTGGTGTCTGTTTCAAAACTGCCCAGTGTAACGGCTGAGAAAAGGATTCACACAATCCATTTCCTTGAGGCGGCCGAAGAAGAACCCCCCCCCCTCATCATTTTTTTTTTTTCTCCTACATGTCAGTTATCAGTTATCTCCCCTCTCCAAGTTCTCCACTCCCTTAACTAGATACTGAACTCACAACTCTTTGGGTCCTGTCACTGGATCTATCCAACACCTTTATCCACCATTCCATGTGTCCTTAAGGACATCTGTGCATGAATTTCTGGGACTTATAAACTTATTGATTTCAGTAACCATTTTTACCAGTGCTCATATTGCAATTTTTGCTGTTATCACTGCATATTTTTTACCAGAGCTCATATTGCAATTTTCGTTATTATTATTATTGCTTTTCTCTGGCACTCCTTATTACTGGTTCCCAAATTGTATTCATTTCTATGCTTGGTCGGCTCAGGAGATTTTTGTGGCCTAGCATATGTGCTGATTCCTTAAGTTTAAAAATTTTCCAATGATGTTCTTTGTCTATGATTTCAACCTGATCCCACAGAGGGCAATGATCTCCCTTTTCTCTCCATATGTCTTCAGCCACGCCTGATTTTTCCACTTCCTCCTCGTGTTACAGGTTTCTAGTGTTCTTGAAGCCTTACCTTAAGGGGGCAGCCTGTCTCCATTTTATATTTCTTTCCACAGCTGCATGGGATGGTGTACACACAGTCTTTAGTAATGTTCTTCTTTATCGGGGGGGGGGGTCTTAGGAGAGGTATCTACGAAGTGTTGTCCAGCTTTTCAAGGTGGTCCTGATGTTATATAGACTGCAGATCCTTTGTATTTTCTGCACTAACCCCTTCACATAAGGCAGGCAGACTGTTTTCTGAGTGTCGTTGTCCTCCTCTTTTACCCGCCTATCCCAGTTTATTGGGGCTGCTGACATGTACCCAGGGTAGTTGTTACATTGTAGGGTACTGCTTGTACTGACCAGTTCTTTATCTAATGTCTCTGGGTGATCACTTATGACTTTTGCTCGATGTTGTAAGCAGTGGACGATCCCTTTTTTTTTTTTTTTTTTTTTTTACACTGTATGGATGGTGGGAGCTGAAATTGAGGTATTGTCTGGTGAATGTCGGTTTGCGGCATACAGATGTCTTGAACCCATGTTCTGTTCAAGATATTAAAATATCCAAGAATGAGAGTGTGTTGTTACTCTCTTTCTCCAACATGAACTGTATCAAAGGTCTTATTGAGTTCACATGATCCAGCAGAACTGGACATTTTCCTGGTTTGGCCAGAATATGAAGGTGTCATCTATGTATCTTAATGATAGAGTTGGCTTTAGAGATATAGATTCTAATGCCATTTCCTCAAAGTATTCCATGTATATATTCACCATCGCTGGTGATAATGGTGAGCCTATTGCTAAGCCCTCATCCTGTCGATATATGTGTGATCCCATTCCGAAGCGTGCTGTTTGTATACAGAATGTCAACATCGCCATCAGATTATCTATTGGAGTCTTTGTACATCCTACTTTCCTCTTCCATTTTCTGCTTCTTCTTGTCCAGTTTTTGGACTCTTTACTCTTTCTTCTCGATTATTGAACGTTGTTCAAAAACAATTATTCAAAAAACATTTATTCAAATTGTAAATTCTTTGAATGAAAATTAATCAAAAGGACAATTATACTAAATGTTAATAATGTAAAAATTAAAAGAGGAAATTTCCAAATGATAATTATTCAAAATACAAATATCGTTACTAAAACAATTTACCAAGAAAAAATGCTTATAACCTTAGGTTATATGATACTGCACACAAAGTCAACTACCGGTGTACTTGTCAAAAGATGACAGTAATTTTTTAAGTTTTCTTCTTACATTGAGGAATTTCTTGGCGCTCTTGATATTTTGGCAAACTGCTCTTACTTTTGCAATATGAATTTCTTGCAAGTCCTGTTCTCTTTTAAGAGTGTCAAAGAATTTCCATATTGTGGGATAACACTTGCTACCAAAAAGCCATATGCCATACTTCAAGGGCATTATTAGTTGTAGGTAAATCAGCATCAACTCTCTCGAAGCAATATCACATACGTATTTCTAACATTGGTATTTCAAATAATTTTCATTCAAGTGATGTACAATTCAAATGTCTTTTTGAATAATTGTTTCCAAATAATTTTCTCAAAACCATCTTGTTTATTCTTCAAGACCCTTGATTATAGACTCTACACAATCCTAAATAGTGATTAAATCTCCCCCTCCTTTTCTTTTAACATATGAAGCAGGACAATCTAATGTCCAGAATAACATCAGCATGTCACTAGGGTAATGAGTTGGACAAACATTCATACCCAAGCACATGAAGATATGTTCCAACTACTGCTTTCTTAATATGCAGAACAGATGAGTTATTCATTGTTGAGCAGTAGAGAAAGTTTTAAGTGTTCATGTTAAACTGTTGACAGAAAAGAGGGAAAGAAATTTGAAGCAGCAGATTAACAGAGAAGTGATAATTCATGTATAAATAATCCAGTCCTTTTTTATAGATACTATGCTAGTATAAATTATTTCTTGTAAAATTAAATTCAAGCAAAATGAAAAAGCATAATATAAATAATGAAAATCATACAAAAAAAATAGACAAATGAATCCACTTACTTTTCTACAGTTCTGGACAAGACTGTTGAATAAAGTGCTAATAGAACCCCACTGCTTCCCTCAGCTTCAAACTGAAATGACAATATTAAATAATAATAAATTACAATATTAATAATTATACAGTTAAATGACTGGATCATTTCTTCATATTACGAAAACATTTAATTTAAGACCATAGACAAAGAAACTTTTAAAATATAACAGAATTAATCTTAAAAATATTATTCCTTAAACAAAATCAGATTTAATTTTTGAAAAGACATTTTGCTAATATTCAAGAAATCTTTTTAACTAAATTGCAAGATTTCAAGCCCTCCCTTTTCTGGGTTTCCCCATGAATCTGTGACATTTCAGGAATGTTGAACAGGATTCTATTTCATCTAGTCATCAAGGAGGAGAGCAGTCATTCTCATCTTTTGTTTCTGAAGTATTTCTGAAATCATAACAGCAAATGCTAACTTTTGCCTGAACTTTTAGTCTAAGGAATTTCACAATGAGGCTAATGTCCTCATCTTTGTTGTTGTTATCACAACTGTTGTGCTCTCCGGCCCTTTTTAGTTATCTGATGATCCAGATAACCATCAAGCAATTTCAAACTGACACTTTTATTTAATATACATGGGTAGATTGTTCTGACACAACAAAGGTTTATTAATGCATAGGTTCATGAATTTAGTGGCACAATATTGCACATTCAATTCTCTTTTGAGTTACGAGTGTTTTTAATATTTCAGTGTTTATTTACATCTTCAAAACAATATCGCAGGAAGTGAACCCAAAATGCTCTTTGACAAAACAAAACTCAAAAGAATGTTTTTTTTTCATTTCTTGAGGATGGTGTAATGGATAGTGGCTCAGAAAGAGAAAATCAATGAGCTGAGTTCAAATACCAATTGGGTTAGTCATATTCACTTATGTGCAAATACCATTGGGAAATGTATGAATCCATCTCTCTCCCCACCAGCTATGGGTTAAATAATAGGATTTCTACCTGGAAAAATCATTGTTATTCTCAAAAAACATTTAATTACAAAGAATGATTCTTACAATCCCAAAATTTGTTTTAATTTAAAGAATTTAATCACAATATTACGTCTCAGCTAGGTTTTATCTTTTTACAGTTGAAATGGCGTGGGTGAGATATAAACGTAAGTTCAATTCTAACATTTTCTTCTCTTGCACTTCTCTCTTGTGGAACTCTTCCCTGATTTCTTGCTCCCCAATCAACTTTAATCTTCAAAAGTTTAAATGCAATGTCAGTCGTTATCTGCCGTTTTCTTAATTCTTGTTCTTTTATTGTTCTCTTTTCTTAAAAGTGGTTTTATTTTTTTTTCAGATTTTTTTAATACTCAGTAACTCCTTGTGTCTTAGTGGCTTTATTGCCTTGCTTGGAGTGAAATGATTTTAAAAAAAAAAAAAAAAAAAAAAAAAAGTAACCCATAACCTACAAAGGGTTGATAAATTGATAAAAAAAAAATTTCAGTTTTGTTTCCTGATTTGAAAATGAAAACTACTTACCAAAATTATGTTTTTCTTGACGAAAGCATTCAAATCAGTAAAAGATGAAAATTTGTACAACATTAACTGAAAATAAAATAAATAAATAAGTAAAAACATAGAGACTCCAACTAAAAACTTTTAATTTTTACAAATTCCAGTTTCTAGCTTTTTGGCAGCAAGAATTGAAATCTTATTGAAAGCCCATCATCTCCTTTCAAGCAGTGCCCTTCTCCATCGCAATGAGATGTCTGCAACAATAGAAAAAGGAACTGCGCAGTTTCTGAATTACCCACCAAATATCACTTGCATTGTATGACATATCCAGATGATGGGTAGGCATTTCTATTTCCTTTTTCACAATGATGTCACCCTGTACAAAGGCCAAACAGCTGCTTGAGGTAGACGGTTACAAAGTAAGAGACACAGATTCTGTGATATGTGGGCAAGATAACAGTTAACGCAAGACTTAAACAGGTTAAGAATTTAGTGATCGGGGGAAGTATCCTGTTAAGAGTCAGTTCCACGAAGCAGCAGTTTGTGTGAAGAAGCTGCTCAAGTGAATCTTACAGCTTATCAATGAAATACGAAGGGAATAAGGGTGGTTAGCTGCAATGCACGTAGCATGGCGGGTCTTAGCTGTGAAGGTTAGAATTAATGGAACTAAGGAATTTAGTTCATCTGAACACTTTTCCATGGAAACAACAAGAGTCTTGCAATGTTTCGTCTATAAGAATGGGGTTTCAGGGTCGAAAATAGTTTGTCACCCGCAAGGGACGCAGAGACGCTTTTGGATTATCTTTGATAGCTGATCTCCCCTCTGATCTCACTCTAACATCTCAGTGGGGTAAAAACTGGCTGGTGATATTCAATACCTCAAAAACCAAACTAGTTACATTACATCACCACCAACTGAACTCGGAACTTTCACCAATCAGATATATAGAATACCCAGCATTACAAGAAATCATGGATCACATTTTGCCCTTATATGGTGATAAAAATTACTTTTCATTTTAGCAATATATATATATAGATATATAAATATAAAAGTGAACATTGAAGTCAACACTCAGAGGTGACAGGCTGTTTCATGCTAGACACAATTGTCAGGCGGCCTGATAATTGCATCCAGCAGGAAACAGCCAGTCGCCTCTGAGAGTTGACTTCAATGTCCACTTTTCTATTTATATTTACATACACTATCTCTGATATTGAGCACTTTATCACATAATATAGCACACCTTTAAAACTATATTTCTTTATATATATATATATATATATATATATATATATACACATTTATATATAAGAGAGTAATAAATGAATTTTTTTATCTAACATTATTACTATAAACATTATATTTAATGGTTACATATATTTGAGGTATCATTTTTTATTAAGACTTGCAATCTCTATGTCAGTAGACATTAATTTCATTGTTTTATATATATATATATATATATATATGTATACACACTTCAGGAAAGAAAAAAAAATGTATCTATATATTGTAATACTAAATTTATCCAGACATCACAAGATTAATGCAAGTTACCTTTGAACACCACATTCACAAGAGATTGTCAAAATGGTGGCCTTTAGCTTCCAGACATTAATTAGTATGGCGAACTACCGCTTGGGCTACATTGGTCAGTGCCCAGTGGGATTGCTGCACATGCATTTTCAATTTTTTGTCTAAGGGCTTCCAATGTAGTCAGTTTTCTGTGATACACATCCTTTAGAGTCCCCCATAGTAAACTGTTATTTGATAAAACTATGAAAGCCAAGATTTTCCTTTCCTGAATTGTTGTATTTTTTGGCAGACTCTGTATATATGATCTAACAATAATATAACCTTTCCATAGCAACAAATTATGATAAAAGCTGAATGAACTAAAAGACATGAAGCTCTTCGGCAAAGATATACCCTAGAGTGGGGATTTGCCTAATTCTACAACTAAATGAAGCCACTATGGCTACTTGTTTCATTTACCATGACACTGCATTGCTGCAATCATAAAAAAGACGGCAACTTAATGACACCTCAAGCACAAGTTTTTGATTGCAACTATATGGCTAATATCAAACCAACATCCTGACGATGATTCCCTTTGATGAGAGCAGTTCAAGAAATTTTATAATTTAACAAGAATATTCAATAATTAAATGATACTTACTGTTTCTACAAGACGATCAGGTTTGCACTGATTGCCTCCAATAAAATGACTTGTGCCACTGGAGCTAAACAAGGAAAACATTAAAAGATTATATATATATATATATATATATATATATATATATATATATATATATATATATATATAGTAAAACAGAACTCAAATATTACTGCCTTTCTGTGACTTAAAGTTTAATGAACACCTCAATAGTTATGCAGCCATTTCACAATTTTCCTGCAGCACAAGGAAAGAGATACTCAATTCCATATTCTTTAAACTAAAAACCTGGTTTATCAAATTATAGCTCGTAGTAGAAACAAGGAAAAATTTTATGTTGGTGCAGCATCAGGAGAGTCTATGTTTATTGCTTCTGTATGTTTTTTATATTTTAAATTGAGTACTGTTCTCTTGGAACTCTTGTTTGATTTTATTATACATTAGCATGCAAAGGGTAAATTGTTGCCATTTTATGTTTTTAATTTCGTGCATGCACGTTGTTTGTTTTTGATTTTGTCGACTGCACAGTATAGTAGGGTCAGTTGGGCACCGTCTGTGAGAAAAAGAACACCAGGACACAATTCACACCACCAAAAATTTGGAAACAGCATGTGGTACTGCTTGGTATTCATGCCGGAAGCTCCAATATGAATACTGGACAGTGTTTGGATGAGTCTAATGGTGATTACAAAAGTACAGCAGCTCGAAAAAAAATCACTGTTCTGATAAGAAAAGAATTCCTGAATTTGTTGATGAGGGCCTCAGACTCAACACGTAAGCCTACATAAAGTGCCTTGAGGAGATAGTGCTGCCCCAGGTCAAGGAGGTGTCTGCTGGAAGACCCTATATCTGACAAAAGGAGTCTACACAAGGAGGAGAACCCAGTCATGGCTGTCAGAAAATTTCTACAACCACATCATCCCCTTACATCTGCAACACCTTTGATTATTATGTGTGTGGAGAGGAGTGTCTGTTGAGCAAGGGAGCAACAAATCTCTTTGCAACATCAAAGATGAACTGAAGGCTAGGATCATGGCAGCATTCACCAACTTAAACAAGGAAGAGATGCAAGAGATTCTGAAGTCGTCTGGAGGCCATGGTTGAAGCTAATGGTGATTTTATTAAGTAAAATAAATATTACTATATTATTATTAAATAAATTTACTCTTTAGTCTTTCAAGATATTTTTGTGTAATTTTGGTAAATATATCCGTTAAAATGAGATATTTTCCTTTCTGCGTAATTTAGATGACAATTTATCATCGTGCCCTGCATATATGAGGTGTGTTCAAAAAGTATCCAAATTTATCTTTTCCTGCCAAAACCAATGCCACTTGTGCAAAATCTTTTGGATGGGGTGGGGGGTGATTTCATTGTTCCTGTGTATGTGTTAAAATTTTTACACTTATAGGCCAGGTGTTTAAGCCTAGAATACAGATGTGTAGTGTGTATTCATCAGATTTTTCATCAAGTTTTGCCAAATTTTGATGATACTCAAATTCAAATCATCCAGAAGTTTCAGTAGGCTTTTGGCGATGTTGCATTGGTCAAAACTCAGATCAAACACTTCAAACATGGCTGCACATCAGGGTAGCATGAGACAGGCACAGGCAGGCCATCAATAAGCCAAAATGAAGAGCCAATTGAGAAAGTTCAGTGAATAGTCATGAAAGTTTTTTGTATAACAATTCCGGAAATTGCTCACAAATCAGTGCATACCATTTTAACTGAGGATTTGTGCATGTGATGACTGTTGGCAAAATTTGTCCCCAAGGTGTTGGCCGAGCAACACAAGCAATTCCATATGGAAATCACTCAAGACATGTTGGACTGTGAAAACCACAACTCAGACTTCATGAAGATCATCATCAATGATGATGAGACATGGGTTTAGGGTTACAACCCAGAAACCAAGTTTTAGTTCTCCCAATGGAAGCATCCTTAATCACCAAAGTCCCATAAACACATAACAGGTTCACAGCAATCTGAAGGTAATGTTGACCTGTTTCTTTGACTCATGTGGTAGTGTCCATCATGAATACACACCACAAGGTCAATAAGTTACACGTTGACTTTGTGATGCTTTGTGTCAAAAGCGGCCGAACATGTGAACAGCAAAGAATTGACAACTTTACCATGACAATGCACCGACTCATTTCACTCACATAATCCAAGCCTTCTTCATCAAGAACATACCACTTGTCTACTCTCCTGATTAGGCACCATGTAATTTCTAGCTCTTCATCAATGTGAACACCATGCTAAAAGGAAGCGACTTAAGTCACAAGAAGAAATTATGAAAAAAACAACAGCAGAAATGTCGACAGAAGTTTGTGAACTCCCAAAGGGTAGATATTGACAGTGATTAAATAAAATTTGTGAAAATGTAATTTTTTTTATACCCAAAGGTTGGATACTTTTTAAACGCAACTCATTTAAATAGTAAAAACATTTCTAAAAGGCCAAGGAGATCATGGAAAAAAAAAAAAAAAACAGCCTACTGTGAGTCATACAATTGCTCTTTTACATGTTAGCAAAAATTATATAAAGCACCGCCATTAACAATACTGTTTTGTTTCATTGCATTCAATTGAAGAAAACAAATTCTTTTACAAATTAATTCACTTAGTAAAAATTAGCAACTTATTTAAACAAGCAAACACTCACATCTTAGTCACCTAAGCAGTGTGAGAGCTAATCTCATCTGAGGCTATATATATATATATATATATATATATATATATATATATATATATATATATATATATATTATATTTTTATATTTTTGTTTTTTTAATATCAGGTGGTGTGAAAAAAAAACAGTAATAAAATTTGTAAATAAAAAAATATTCAACAAACTGATATCAGAGAAAAGAAATTCAATAAAAAAAAGGAAACGGCTAAAAACATTCCGTGCAGGTTGAAAATAATCAATCAACACTGCAATGTCTAGTCAAAAGAAAAATCACTGACAGAGTAACTTAACTTAAAACGTAGAAGTGCTCAATATACTGAGTAGAACAAAAACTAAAAAAACCTAGTGAGCCATAATCTACCTACCTAGGTTTCTCTTAATGGATCATCAGGGTAATACTGACTAAAGAGGGTTGGTCCAAACAACATTTTATTAGAAAAAAAAAAAAAAAAATGGCCACCAAGAATAAAAAATTAGCATAAGACCAGATATGGAAGCAATGTCCAATGCATGGATGAAAAGTAGACTTATAAATGTGTAAGATAAATTTTAATTACATTTTTCCAGTTTTTATATAATTCGATGTTCAAGAGTCAATTTTTTTATATTGGAAATGCATACCCCTTAAATATAGTTAGAAAACATCCTATGAATGATGTAATTTGCATAAGTGGATATTTAAAGCAGAAAATGTAACATTGCTAAAAATACCAAGATGAAGCTCATAAAATCATTTTTCTATGATAAATAACATTTCAGATAATGATTAGGGATAAATAAAATTATATAAAGAACGTTGGACAGTGTTGCTATAAATTTGATCTGGATGTGTGATAACTTATACAGACTGGACATAATAAAATGATTAAACAGACACACCTTATCCAAATAAACTTTTAATAAAACTCATTTGAATAAATTCTTATTGCTTATGTATATATCACATATAGATAGTTACACAGTGAAACCTACAGTCACCTGAACAAAACTGGAGAATCGATCAATAAAAATATTATGACTAAAACAACAAAGATGCAGGTGCTAGCAAAAAGATAATAACAATAGATGATATAAATAGTAATAAGTAAAAAAGATAGTAATGATAATAGCTGAGAATTTCAAAACAAAGTAGCAAAGATGAGGATATTAGTCCTAATGAATTAATAAAAAAATTAAAAAAAAAAAAAACTTCAAATACTCACAGAGCAACTGTGGCAGTTTTTTGATCTCCTGCATTCCAAAAAATCCGACTTAATGCTGCTGCCAAAGCATTCCGGCAATCTTCAGGGCTTGGTTCCAGACTGGAGAAACAAAAACATTTCACTAAATTGAAACATTGCAATGAAAGAATTCTTAGATTAAACTTCTGTTTACAGAACTCTTAAACAAATTAAAATAAATTGCTAAAGGTTTTCTGCATAGAAATATATGTAACAAAAAATAAAAATACTTTTCTTGTTTTCTTTTTTAAATTATTATTTTAAATGTCTTTAATTGTTCTTTAACTTTAAACAATTTTTTATTAAAAAATGTTTTATTTTTATGACTGTCAGTCGAAAAAGCTTATGGTATATTCAGGAAGAGGGTTAAGAATATCATTGCCAAAAGCGAAGCAACTCTTGATGCCTAACAGTTTGGAGTTGTGGAAGAATTGTTCTTATCAATTAGAAATAAATACCAATATTTACAGTGCCATTTGAACTTCATTTCAATCCTTCTGGAGTTTCCAATCCTTAGTAATGATTAATTAATGATGAACATGTCATTTTCATTTATTATTGATTCCATTATGATATTTCTTTTAAGCTTGAATTGTAATTATACATTCTTATTGCTAGTATTATTAGTAGAGTCCAATAGCATAATAAAAAAAAACCTTGGAGAATTCTAGTAAGATATCTTTAATCATTTCTAAGATTCAAGGGTTCAAAGCTTAATCTAACAATTGCAAAATTCTGCTGTTAGACCCGGTATATATATAAAATTATTATAGCCTATATACAGGGTGAGATGGTTAAATTGTCGTCTAAATTACACAAAAATGAAAATAACACTCACATCTCATTTTAACAAACATATTTACCAAAATTGCACAAAAATATCTTGAAATACTAAAGTGTAAATTCATTCAATAAAATTGTCATTTTCTTCAACCTCAGCTTACAGACAACTTCAGAATCTCCTGCAACTCTTCCAGACAGTCTCCATGATTAAATTGGTAAATGCTGCCATAATTCTTGCCTTCTGTTAATATTTGGTCTTTTAAGGAGTTTTGTTGGTCTCTCTCTGAACTGCACCTCATACATAATAATCAAGGAGTTGCAGTCTGGAGAGTTAAGTGGCCAGATTCAAAGGGCAATGTGGTCAGAAAAATTGTCTGACAGCAATAACTGGGTTCTCTTGCTTGTCTGGCATGGTGCAGAGTCCTGTTACCAGACATAGGGTCTTCCAGCAGCCACCTTCTTGAGCCAGGTCAGCACTACTTCATCAAAAAACTTGATGTAGGCTCCGTGTGTTGCAGGAAGATGAATGGAGGCATAACATCAACATCACTAGTGATCACTCCAAATGCCATGATGACTGAATAATTATCATTCAGCTCTTTCCGAATCCTCTGCACTGTCCTCAAATTGACACCCAAACAATCTGAAATGTTCATATTAGAGCTTCCTGCACAATTTCCAAATTTCTAGTGAAGTGAATTGTGTCATGGTGCTTTTTTTCTTACAAACAGTATTATCAGGAAGGTCATTAATGAAAATTAAAAATAGAGTAGGACCAAGGATGGAACCCTGGGGGACACCTGCATTAGTATGTTGGGATCTAGATGAGTGGCCATTCAGGATAACACTCATTTCACGATCTGAAAGGTAAAACTGGATCAGTTCAAAAAAGTTTTCCAGAGGCACCATAAATTTTCAGCAGGTGGAGAAGACCTGAATGCCAGACACTATTAAAGGCTTTCAAGATGTTCGATGCAACAGCCCAGGTTTCACCATTTTTATCTAGAGCATGATAAACTCTTTCCAATCATCAGTTCATCAGCAGTTGACCTGGATAAATGAAAGCCATATTGCTTGTCTGAGAAAAGGCCCTGTGATAAGAGATGATATGTGTGATAATTTATTTTTTCTCATATCATATTTTTTAAATAAAACCATGCTAATTTTTCTCAGTCAATCATGAAGTATTTATTTATTTTTAAAATTAAACCCACAAACTTTTTCTTCCATTTGCTCATCATACAATTTGTCACTTAACATTAGTTCTATCTTTTATCTGTCATATTTTGGACACTAACCAACAAGATATTAATAATAAAGAATATTTTGGACACTAACAGATAAGATATTAATAATAAAGAATATTTTCATAAACATGGTTGGACTTTATAAAGCTTGGTAACTTAAGAAAAATGTTAAAAGAATCTGGATAAAACAATTAAACATGTCAATTGGTGCCACATAGATTATAAGATACAAATACACAGTTATCCTAAAGCTATTTATATCCCAGAACTTAACGATAAAGTTCAAATTTGCCTCTTAGGGGAAATAACTCTTGTAAAACATGAAGAGTTATTTCCCTTGTACTGTATGCTTTCCATTAAATTGTAAATAAATTTATCTTGCAGACCATTGCAGTAAGTTCAATTATTACTGGTGTCTTCGTGCCAAACTAAGTTAAGTTTAATAAATTTAAAACAAAAAATGTTGTATTTGTACTGAGAGCCATAATGAACATGGCCTGGAGAGATTCGGCTTAACCTACTTAACATCCAGAAAATGGGAATTCAATTCTATATTTCAGATCCAATATTCAATTCTTCTTTGATCCTTATCAGAGCTTTATTATCTTTCATAGAGTCTTCAGTGCTAACAAAGAATTTGAATTCTTTGTTCCTTTGGATGTTGATGCCTTCAACAATGACAAACATGGCTGATACATTGGACAAAGGACTCAATAAGACACAATGACATTCTCCCAAAGAACCAGGAATCATGCTTTACAGATACATTAGCAAATGAATTGCTTTTTTTTCCAAAAGAATGTAAGAGTGATTTCATCCTGTCAAGGCTGACAATGGGTGTAAAAGCTGTTTGCTGTTTACTGCCTCAACAGGTAATGTAAATTTGTGAGAATGTTCTGCCAAGTGATTACTTACATACACTTTTCCATTAAGCAATCAAAAAATATATTTTTTGAAACTGATTTTATAGTTACCCAAATATTAGCCCCTATATGAGCTCAGATGAAAAAGTATCAGGACTGGTGCTAAAAAAGAAAACTACAACACATACCAATTCAACATTTAATCTCCTTTTGAAGTAGTCTTTTTGGGTCTAGTCACTGGATCTAAACAACATCTTTATTCGCTGGGCATTAGGTCCATGATAATTTTTTCTTAATGTTAAATTTATGCACAGGTTACCAAAACTTTCCATTTTCATCTTGATAAAGTTCTTTAAGGAAAGAACCATGATGGCATAAATGGTTTTCCTCATCTTTTCTTTTATTCATAGAATCCTATCTTCTCTTTTCCTATAGACATTGTCTTTATAAATGTATTCCATAATTGCAATATAGTTTTTATATCATGTAAAGTTTTCACTTCAATCCTAATTCTTATTTCTCAACAGACTCTTGATATTATTCACACAGAGTCCAAAGAAATAAAAACAACAAGAGAAATGTACACTATTTACATTATTCAGACTATTGTCCTCATCTTTGTCGCCATATTCATCACAACATTTCGGCCGTTGTACGCTCTGGCCTTCTTCAGGTGGTTGGAATGTTGAACCTTCTATTTAGCTCACTGGGGTAAACTGTTCTAGTTCTACGTGCCATGTCTAATGGATATCAGTTATCTCCTGTTAATTCCTCTCTCCAAGTTCTCCACTGCCTTACCCAGGTATTGAACTCACACTCTTTGGGTTCTGTCACTGGATCTAACCAACATCTTTATCCACTGTACCATGTATACTCCCTTAAGGAGTATACAGCAGCCAAAACGTTGTAATAAATATGGCAACTAAGATGAGGACAATAGTCCAAATAATGTAAATAGTGTACATAATACCTCATCTCAGAAATAAAGACAGATACTGAAGAATATAAATGTTTTCACACACATCTGCTATTAGATACATTTCCAATGACCCAACATCTAACTCTTTTTTAAACATTAACAAAAAATTCTGTTGAGATTTGTGATTTATTAAATCTGAAGTCAGAAGCAAAAATGTAAATTTTTTTTTCTATGAATTTACATAATTATGGGAAATTTGCAGAATGGATTTTATAAGCATCATGTTTTTTTGTTCAATTTGACCTGTAAACTATCAATTAATTATATGATTAGTGAATACAACTGAAACAGAATAAATATAAAATTTGTATACAAAGTTAAGAGAAAATTTTTACCTATATTTTCAATCTAAAATGAATTAAATACTTACTTTTTACTTGAAGTCAGTTTATTTTCACCAAAGAGCATCTCCAACAAAACATAGGCTTGGATTGCAGCAAGCACCCCACATGGGCCACCCTAAAAAAAAAAAAAAAAAAAAAATTATTTCAATTTATGCTAATTTTTATTTTTTTAAATAAAAAATTTTTCAAGTATTTTTTGATGAAAACATTTTAAACTTAATATTTCCAAACATGAAAAAAAAATGAAAAGATTTTCTGGAGCAGAAGGTAAGACAGAATGACAAAAGTTTTGCTTGTCACTGAATCAACAGCAACACTCTCCATGGCTGAAACTGTTAAGACACTCTCCATAAAAGCTGAGTTTTTAGGGGACGGGATGCAAGTTCAAATACCACTGGAAGCTACACTTTATTTCCAATGTGATACCACTTATCCTAAGAAATACTCATCAAAAATGAATAATTGGCAATGCTACATTGAAGTAATTCAGACTATTACATCTTATTAGTACTTGGTGTAAATAAGCAAGAGAAATAAGATGAAAGAAATACAAGTAAAAAATTAATGATAATTGACAATGCTTTATCTAAAAAATAAAAAAAAAAAGAATCAGTGACTATTACTTACTAAATTCATTTTCAATCAAAGACATTTTTCCAAATAAATGAAATCTCAAGCATCTTTGGCATAATTAAAACCTAAATTAAAAAAATAATACTAACCTTTTTCTGAACAATTCCATATTGTAGCAGAGGAACATTTGAGAATTCTAAGTTTTGTCGGAACCATTCTGGATTAAATTGAGAGTTAGCAGATCCAAGAATTAAAATTTTCAATTTCTGAAATAAAAAATCATTTTTTTTTATTTTTTAAAATTATATTGGTTATGTTTTAAACTTTTAACATTTAATATATATCATGGAGTTAGACTATGTATAAATACTTTGTCTATGACATATAGATAAACAGTACATTTCCTCAATACTTCAAGACCTCAATGATATGTTTTTTTAATTAGATTTTTGATGAAAATTTTTCACATGTCATTCAATATTGTAATTATTAGATAGATTTTTGTTAATTCTTGTGAATAATTTTGAGTAAATTTTTTAAGCTGTGGAATTTATTATTATACGCTGATTTACTTAAGTGATATTTCATTTAAAACTCTGTATTCAGTCATTAAGATTGAATACACAGTTTTAAATTAAAAGTCACTAATCTCCATAATTTATAACAATCACTCAAATATAATGAAATGGAGATAGGAAAAAAATAGCCTTTAGGTGTAAAACCACAGTTCTACCAATATGTGTCTTATGGAACTGAATCTCATAGTTCTATAAGACTTACCATTGAATTCTTTAGTTATTACTGCAAACATGAGAAAAGAGATGTGAAATTTTTAAAATCAAATCTACTAATATATATATATATATATATATATATATAGCTTACCATAGCAGTCTTCAAGTTGATTGGTGTTGTTACTGCAGACATGGCAGAAGGGATGGTTGATTTTAATGCGGACATATCCAGTGGTGCAGCTTCTAAATCATCAACATCTTCTAATTCCCCAATCTTCTGAGCTTCTACTGAAGAACTACTGAAATTTTGTAAAAGATAAAATTTGGTATTTCGAATGAAAGTGCAATAGCATTAAGACAATGATTAAATCAAATGAAAAACTGAATCAAATGACAACATCAGTAAGAAAAAATTCGTTATGCAATCTCAGCTTCTGAAAGATTAAAAAAAAACAAAATTTTAAACCAAAATTTAATTATATAAAATTAATTTGTAGTGTAAGTAGTATTCATTTTATACATGAAATGATAATGAGTAAAGATCTATGAAGCAATATTCCAAAGATCCCTAAAATATTAGAAATGTTAATATCCAGAGTGGTGTTTTTAAGAAATTTTAAAATTATTGTTTCAGAAACCCAAAATATTAAAAGCCAAAGTGTAATAAAGCAGAATTATTTTTTTTTAAACAAAAATTTGTTTTATTTTCTTCATTTTTTTTTTTTTTTTTAATAAATTAACCCCATCCAAGACAATAATGCCACTAAAACACAAAGGGCTACTGGGAGTGGAGAAGAATTAGAAGGATCAAGAAGGAACCGGAAACTCAATCCTAAAAAGGAAACAAGGGATAAATCTCTACTTCTGTTCCAAAGACTGGTAAGGAGCTTGAACCAGACAATAGGTGAACCTATCGACTCCTATAAATATAAAAAGAGGGTTAATGAATTTAAAATTCTATACCATATTTGATATAAAACATTTTTAAATAATCTTTTCTTAATAATACAATAAAAACTGACAAAACATGTAAAAAATTTCCCAAGCAATTATTTCAGATTTTGTTTAAAACCAGCAGCTTAAAAAGAAAAATAAAGTGTATATATATATATATATATATATATATATATATATATATGAAGTAAACCTTAATAAAATTAATTCTGAATACTCCACAAATATTTTAAAATGCGCATAATAGATAGGTTGAAATGCCAAGGTTTACAATAAGTTTCTTTTTATGACTCATGTCGTAAAAAAATTCCCCAAACCATACTTAGTTACCTCCCTTTAAACGGTTTCAGTGTTCCTCATGCCATTTGTAAGAAATTTAATTTTCAGATAACACAACAATTTGTCTCTGACAATAATGGTTACTATAATATTTATTTTATTATAAACAATGCTATGAGGATGACATATATATGTCAAAAGTACTTGGAAATAAAACATATATGTATAAACACCGTGATTTTCTCTCGTCTTTCTGTAATGACATCAAAACACTTATCCGAGAATATGAAAGGAACTTAATGAAAATGAGTAGACAGAATATGTCTAAACTGTACAACAAAACATGTTACATTATATATATATATATATATATATATATATATATATGATAAAAATATAGTTTTAAGTTATGCTATATTTATGGGTAAAAGTGTTCAATATCAGAGATAGTCCAGATGTAAATATAAAAATATAAAAGTGGACACTGAGGTGAATGCAGAGTGGTGACAGTCTGCTTCATGCTTAAAACCAAATTTCAGGCCATCTTTAATATTGCATGCAAGCATGAAACAAACTGTTGATCGCTGCTCATTTAATAAACAGGTTGAGAAATTAATCTTGGGTTGAAAATAGTTTTGAATATAGACTCAAATAAGTACAAGGCTGACTGAGTGGGAGGATGACAAAAATGGTACTGAGAACAGAAAGAAAATCAACACTGATCTGCTGATCCAGATTATGGAGATGGATTTTTTTTGTGAAACTAGAACAGTCTACTCCAGTGAGCAAAATAAAGGGTTCAGTTCGACATTCCAACCACCTGAAGAAGGTCAGAGCGTACAAAGGCCAAAACATTGTAATAAATATGGCAACGAAGATGAGGACAATAGTCGGAATAATGTAAATAATGAGTAAAAAGGGTTCAGTTTGACATTCCAGGTTATCAACAACAACAGACACCTGAAGCATGCCATAGAGTATAATATCCAAAATGTCATGACTGTAACTCCCAAAATCTAGAGACTAATCTAAGTAAATCAGCATATAATAATGAATAATAAATAGTAATTAATAACAAATAATAATAATAATACATTCCTCTTCTTAAATATTTACACAAAATTATTGACAAAAGACAACAAAAATGCCATTTCATAATTACCATATTTAATGACATGAAAAAATTCTTTGAAGTATCAAGGGTAAGGTCTATCTAGATGCCATAAACTACATCCATTTGTATGCAGCCTAACTTCATAATATTAAATGTTAAGAGAATGGTTCAATTTGAAATTCCCTGAAGGCTACTCAGATCGACAGATGCTAAAGAAGGCTGGAGGACATTATAGTCAAAACTTTGTGATAACAACAACAAAAAAGTGGACATTAGTCAGAATGTAAATAACATAAATAATGATCCGTCCTCATCCCAAAATTACAAATTTAAATAAAAGGTGTCATCAACTACAGTTTAAAGGAGTCAACCATAGTCGGGATCAAGTCAATGCCTTAGCTGCATAATATGTGCATCATGGCGACATAGTTTTGAATTCGGAGTTTTCCTTCTCCTAAACCAATTGACACCCAATGCTATAGAATTACTATTTATCCATAGCTGGGGGGAGAGTTGGACTCATGCCTTTCTCAAGGGTATTAGCACAGTATAACAACTCTCAAATATATGAAAAATATATTTCATTTTTTTTTATATTACAATAAAACCAATAATCTATTTACAGTGTATATCAAATCTTACAGTCAAATTAACAGTTCTCATTTAATCACCAAAGTTAAGCAGTGTTGACTCTGGTCAGTACTTGGATGGGAGACCACTTGGGAACACTAGGTACTGTAAGCGAAAACTAAATTGGGTATAGTACTTCACACTGTAAAAACTTGATTGCCATGAAAACCACTGCAGCCACACCCAATATTGTTAAGAGTTGTGGGCATTTTATTCATCAGTGATGCCTACAGGATGAAAGGAGGCATATATATTAAAGCTTTAACTACCTCCACTGATAACTGGAATCACTATAGTTCAATAAAGTACATCACTAAGAACTGTTAGCAACCTTGACATATTCGGGAAAGACATTAGAATAATCAAGAATTTATACTGGCGGCAAACTGCCTGCATACAGACAGAAAATGAATTCAGCAGATATACAAAAATAGAAAGGTGTATAAGACAAGGATGTGTCTTCTCACCAGACTTATACAGCGAGGCAATTCTGAGAGAATTAGAAGTCCTACCAGCATATAAGATATGTAGTTGACACAAAAAAGAAACTATTCATTAAAAAAAAATGGCCTAATTTGGTCTGCAAAAATGGTCAGAGGTTAAATGAATTGTTTGTTTTTTGTTTTTTTAACTGCTAAACCCTAATTCTAAATCAATCCTTTTAATCAAGCTGAAGTCAAAAATAATCGTTTTGTCCTTAATTTTCATTTATGCAAGCAGAGTGGCATTGCTAGATTACAATTATATTTAATTAAATTTTCAAAATTCTTACCGTTTCATTATCGGCCGAAGGGGTTGCTCGTTAAACATGCTGCACTCATCAATGCAATAAGATTCCGATGTAAATAAATCCTTAATCTGATCCTTAACTGTAGATGTCAATGACCGCTGGCTACTGGATGTCATTGCTCTGTCCAGTTCTGTGCTTACAACAGCTGAAGATGATCTGGATGAAGAAGTTGACACTGGTGGTGACAAAGGATCGTCACTTTTACCATTTTGCGGATGGAAGTAGTCCATGATAAAGTCAGATTTCTTGCCTTGACCATCAGAATATTCATCAAAAAGAAAAGTCGATAGTGGAGATTCTGATGCAATTGGGACAGCACTCTGTTCAACAGACAAGTCACCAAGAGGATTGCTTGAGTCGAGGTAAGATTCTATTGATGCTTTCAGCTTGGTTCCATTTGTCCGAGAAATATTTTTGCTTAAAGAATGCTGCAGAAAAAAAAACAACAAGAAAGCTCTTAGGTGTTTGTTTTCTTGGTTGTTTAATGGCACATCAACTCCTTATGGGTCATTTAATGAGAAAATTTAATTTTCTTTGGTGCTTTGAAGTAATAAAAATATATACATTATTCTACTTTCACAATTGCATACATGGTAGATGATACTCAGCTTTTGTACATATACATATTTATATAGACAATTGCTAGAGGTGGTGATATGTGTGTTTTATGTTGTAGTTCTGTTGAAGTTATATTTTGAAATACAGTTTGATTTAAAAAATGATAAGATATTATATGGATTAATGTCATGAAAGGGTTTTTAGATGTTAGTTGTTTGGTTGGTTGATTTTGTTTGATGGCATATCAACACCTCTGTGGGTATTTTTAATACCAAAATCTAAATATTTTGTACGTAATTTTATGCTTTCAACTACAGATATTTTTTGCATAATTTTATGATTTCAGAGTAAATGTATGTTTTTTAGATATATATTTTCTAGATCATAAAATGTATTGTCGATAATTTTCCTATAAAAATGTATTCTATATTTTAGTTTTGCATTGATTATCATTTTGCTATAAAAATGTATTGTTGGTCATTTTATTATAAAAATGTACTGCTGATTTTTGTCTCGGGGGTTCACAATTTATCCATACCTGGGACCCTAACAGGTGCTACCACCCTGGGTTAGGTTGAACTTGGGAACAACAGCAATTATGAGGTGGTTCCACACTCCTCCAATCTTCTGATCAGAGGCCTTATTGCTGGATGTAGTTTATCATCTCACCCAGGACACCTCATATTCTTACCCCTCTGCAGAGGTGCAGTCAGCGCGTTCTGAAACCCCAGCCAAGAGGGCATAATGGTTTGGTAAAAAGTGATAACTGATTTCCTCTTGAGAACTGACCCCTTGCAGATACATTATCTCTTAGCATTTGGGGTAAATTTCACTATTTTGGAGCTGCTTGCTCTACAAAATAAATGAAAACTAGCAAATGGTAATAGTAGAATTAGCCGTTTCTATACAGGAAACATTAGGCATTTATTGACTGAACAGCTAGCATTATTGTTGGCTGAAATTTATAAAACTTTTTTCATAAACAGATTTCCAGGAAATTACATCTCTCAAGTCCACTGTTATCATTCCTACTCATATTGAAGGGAGTTTCCTTCCAAACCTTTTGTCTAAGGTTATATGGAAAGTGAATAATTATTTTCCCTTCAAGTTATATGTATTAACCATTTTTATTGCTGTTGGAGGAGTTCAAGTGATGTGATTTTTCTAAAGTTCTTTAAGTATTTGTAGCCCCAGTCTCTAGGGTCTGATGAAGACCTAAAATGATTTATTCACTTGAAGATATTTTTAATCATTGATCTGAGAAAATGGTTTTTTAACCTTTCTTTTATTCAGCACCCTTTTCCAGATATTTGCATCTCATTTTAATATCAAAGGTGCCATTTTGATTTTAAAATTACATTTGGTAACTGAAGCAGAGTTAATACGACAGAATTGATGAAGTGTTTCAATTTTGTTTGCATTATTCTAATATTAATTCTCATAGTCAAAACATTTCCAATAATAAACTCATTTACAATACAAGTTTTGTTGAAAAGTGTTCTATGTTCTTAAAATTTGATTCAATAACTCCAAAATAGATCAACTAAGAAAAAGTAATATGATAGTATACAAGACACTCTGCGGTTTATGTTTCAGTATTAAGGAGTGAGATTACGTGAAGTTAGTCTGAGTAAACACTGACCTCCCAAATACTTCAGTTTCACATATAAGATGTGAGAAATATTTATGCATTATTTTAGATGGAAACCAAATGGTAATGGTGAAATTAGCCGTTTCCATACAGGAAACATTAGGCATTCACTAACTGAACAGTTAGCATTGTTGTCAACTTAAATTTAAAAGGATGTTAGCATGTAAGTGAATGCAATGAAGTTGGCTGGAATTCAAACTCAGCTCTTTGATTCCTCAATCTGAGCTGCTAACCATTATTGCATTATTCCTCCTTAAAGCTACACAGAATTAAAAATATAATTTTGATTAAATGTTGTCCCAACATGGCTGAAGATTGGCACAAAAAAGATATTTTTTTAAGAGCTCATAATAATCTGTTTAATTCTAAGAAAGGACTTATTCGACGACATCGTCATTTGGCCTGAATCTAGTCTCTCGTAAAAGGGTCGGTATTTAATGATTCATGGTGTCTTAATAATCAGGACGACAGGCAAGCTTAAATCAGACTGCCTTTTAGCTGCCCATATTTTCAAGATATAGTATGCAAGTGCAAGTCTCATTGAAAAGTATACAATAACTTCAAAATAGATCAGCTAAGAAAAAGTAATATGATAGTATACAAGACACTCTGCGGTTTATGTTTCAGTATTAAGGAGTGAGATTAAGGGGAGTTAGTATGTGTAAACACTGACCCGCCAAACACTTCAGTTTCACATATAAGATGTGAGAAATATTTATGCATTATTTTAGAAGGAAACCAAATGGTAATGGTGAAATTAGCCGTTTCCATACAGGAAACATCAGGCATTCACTGACTGATTTGGTTTGGTTTATTTTACGGCATATAAACCTCAATGTGTTATTTAATGCCGACAACATTTTTAGGATAGATTCGTATGAATAGAGTATGTATTCTTTGGTTTAGATTGGTTTGGTTTGTTTAAGTTTTATGGGATATCAACCTCAACGGGTTATTTAATGCGGACAACTTTTTTTTTTAACACTATTTACATCATTGGGGCTGTTGTCCTCATCTTTATTCTTGCCATATTCACAACGTTTCATCTGTTGTATGCTGCGGCCTTCTTCAGGTGATATTTGTTGGAATTTCAAAACAAACCCTTTATTTAGTCCGTGGGTGTAGATTGTTCTAATTCCATGTGCCATGCTTTTGGATATCTCAGTTTCAGTTATTTCCCCTTGATAACTCAACTCTCAAATATTTTGTTCCTTCTGCTGTGGCCACGTATTGAACTCACAACTCTTTGGGTCAAATCACTTTTGACACAAAACAATAGCAACACTCAGAAAACAGACTCAGTCTGCCGACCTTATGTGAAGGACTTATCAGAAAAGATCTGTGGTCCACATTACATCAGTACAACCTTCAGGAGTGGCTCAACACTATGCAGACATCTCTTCTGAGTAAGACCACTGAGAGGAAAACATGATTAAGGACTGTGTACACCATCCCATGCTGCTGAAGCAGGGAACATAAAAAAAACAGGCCGCCTATTTAAGATAAAACTGCAGGATCACCATTTTGCTATAAACAAAGGGGAAATAGAAAAATCAGGCATGGCTGACCATATGTGGAGAGAAAAGGTAAATCACGCTCATCTGTGGGATGAAGTTAAAATATTAGACAGAAAACTGGAAAATACAAAAACTTAAAGAATCGGCACATATGCTAGACCACAAAAATCTCCTAAGCCAGTCATGCTTACAATATGAATACAATATGGGAACCAGTAATACAAGGAGCTACAGAAAAACGACAATAACAAAAAATTGTAATATGAGCTCTGGTAAAAAAATAAATGCTGAGACATTAAGTTTATAAGTTCAAAAAATTTACTCATATGGCCCAGGGAACAAAATCATTGTTTGGTTTATCCAAAAGTGACTTCACTTAAAGAGTTATGAGTTCAATACCTGACCACTGCAGAGGGAAGAAAAACTGTGGAGAGAGTGGAATTAACTGAAAACTAAGATACCCAAAAGCATGGCACGTGGAATTAGAAGAATCTATCACTGTTGACTAAATAAAGGGTTCAGTTTGAAATTCCAACAAATATAGGGTTGAAGAAGGCCAGAGCATATAACAGCCGAAACTTTGTGAATATGGAAATAATAAAGATGAGGACAATGGTCCAAACAATGTAAATAGTGTAAATAATTATAATCTGAAAAATATAAGAAAATTTGTCCTCTCAAGTCCAGTTATTTCTCTTTCTACTACTTTATGAGAGTTTTCCCCCCAAACTTTTCTTTATGGTAGTGTGGAAAATTAACCTCTTGAGTATTGGCTGGTCAACTTTAATGCCTCAAAAACAAAACTGCTCTCTATTAATCACCACAGAGATCCTTCCCTGCCCTCCATTAGAATGTCTGACGCTCAACTTCACAAGAGCACCTCTCTGCAACTGCTCAGTCTCACGATGACTGCTGACCTGAGATGGAACAAATATATTGAGTCAATTGCTTCGTCCACTGCAAGGAAAGTTGGCTCCCTGTGCCACGCCAGGAAATTTTTCTCCCCAGAATCAATCCTTCAGATCTACAAATCAACAATTCGACCTTGTATGGAGTATTGCTGCCATATATGGTCTGGAGCCCCTTCTGTTTGCTTCGGGGTTCTTGATAGGCTCCAAATATGCAATATAATTAGCCCTGTTCTGGCATCTCGTCTACAGTCACTCCCTCACAGACACACCGTCGCCTCTTTCTGTCTTTTTTACAAATACTTTCATGGTAATTGCTCCGAGGAGCTGCATTCGCTGGTTCCCAGACTTCATGAATTCAAGCGCCCTACAAGGCTGGCATCCCGCTCTCACCCTTTCACTGTCAAAACTACTAAATGTAGCCGTTTCTTCTACTCCAATAGCTTCATGTCTCACACCTCTCGCCTGTGGAACTCCCTTCCCTATTCCAGTTTCCCTGAGAGCTATAATCTCCAACTATTCAAATGTAATGTCAATCGACATCTCCAGTTGCCTTGATTTATCCACTATCCTTCTCCTCATCCTTTCCTCTATCACTCCTACCTGATCTTGCTCCAAATCTTCTGTAACCCCTTGCTCGGGGTGAAAAACTTAAAAAAGAAAAATTATTTTTCCCTCTAGTTACATAAGCAACCTATTTTTATTGTTGTTACAAGTATTCAAGTGATGTGGTTTTGTTATTTGAGAAAACTCTTTGTTTCTTATTCTGTTGCGTCCCTCTATAAGATCTAATGATGGAAAGCCTTTTATTTTTTAAGACCTGCAAGATTCAGTCACTTAAAGCCATTTTTCTAAATTAAAATGAAATATGTGTTAAAAATTAAAGCTGTTTGTTGCTAGATTTGTGAAATGGTTAGTCCAAAGTTACTTATATTAAGAGACTTATTCTACTTATATGATAGGTAGGTAATGCAATATTCATTTATATATTTCATGCAGCCAACCAAACAACACACAGCATATGATATTAGCTTCAGACTCAGTGATATACAATAGTGAATTCTTTCCTTGTCCAACTAGATATATATATATATATATATATATATATATATATATATATATATACACAATTATTATCGAACTCAGTGCTATCCAGGCACATATTGTTCAGTACATCACAAACAACCAAAATACAACTATGAGCATAAGACAAATATTAGTGGCTAATACCAATGCAAAGAAAGACTCAAAACAATAGAAACTATTAGGATACAAAATAAATAGGACACATTAAATTTTTAAATATCATTCACCAGTGGAGATGGTATCTTGAAGTGCATATGATATATTTAATGTAAACAGAGACACACACATATATATATATATATATATATATATATATATATATATATAAAAAAAAATCCTATCTATTTTTTTTTTGCAGCCTCATTCCCAATAACCATTACATATGACATGATCGTAGCTCCAGCTTCCCAAAATATACCTGGATATAAACAAAAGAATTCTAACTACTACACAGAAACTATATTGATTTGGTCAAAAGTACTTGAACAAAACAATAACCCAATGCAAACTTTAGACAAACTTTATCCACAACCTGGAGCACAATACTCAACAACCTATTCAAAATTAGAAAAATACAATAAAAAAAATTAAACAGACATTGTCAGTTATTTTTCATCAAACTTATATATATATATATATATATATATATATATATATATATGAAGAAATATAGTCTTAAGATGTGCTATAATTATGGTTATAAAGTGATCAATATCAAAAGAAAGAGCGTGTGTAAATATAAAAGTGAACATAGAAGTCAACACTTAGAGGTGACAGTCCATTTCATGCTAGATGCAATCGTCAGGCAATCGCAAAAAGCATGAAACCCAGGGTCACAAACTCACATCAATTCAACCAAATAAATATATATATATATATATATATATATATATATATATATATATATGTGTGTGTGTGTGTGTGTGTGTGTGTGTGTGTGTGTGTGTGTATATATATATTTCCTTTGCCATTTAATCATTAACTAAAAAAACAAAAATTAGTTATTTAAACAAGAAATAAATTTAAAAAAAACAAAATACCCTTATATTTTGAAAAACATTAGAAAACCTCTGGAATATTCTGTAATATTAACCTCATTTTAAACCTCATCTGACCCTGGAAATAATTCGGTACATTATCTTTTGACACTCAGAACCAAAAGGAATAAGGTGAGCGTATGAGGTGACAAGTAGATTATTAAAAGAAGAAATAACGTCATCCTACACATACGCACACATATATGACTGGGTGTGTGCACACTCACGCACATACAAAGAAAAATTACCTAACATCAATAAAAAAAGCAGATAAATTATTTTTCTAACTTAATATAAAAAATAACAACAATGACAAAATTGGGAGATATTTGATGATATATACTGACGTGCAGACCAAACAATTACACAAAGATTCAACTATGAAATTCCAGAGTAGAGGTGCTGAACATTAATCAGCTAAGTGACAATTTATATATATATATATATATATATATATATATATATATATATATATATATATATATATATATAAAAAAATACTAATAATCTTATAAATATGAGCAGCTATACTCGTCCGGCAAAACCTTAGCTTGTAAATCAACAAACCAATACCCAAGGAAAAAAAAATGGTAGAAACAGAAAGAACAAAGAACATGTACTTCCGGTAAAAATAATCTTCTAGAATCTAAGTTCAGAGTACAAAGAAAAAACCTCCAACACAAGTAAAGTAAAATAACTTATTGTGTTATTACCGAGTGATATATATATATATATATATATATATATATATATAAGTAATAATACAATAAGTCAAAAGAATATAATAAAAGCCTAAGTGTCATTTTCCTACTTGGTGAGTCAGTTTTGCTGATATAGTATTTTTGAGCTTGCGGCATTGACTTTTGTTTTTTTAATGAGAACTACAGTGTAGCAAGTTTCTCATTATCAATTATAAACCGATTATTATTATGATTATATTTATGACCCCAAAGGATTCTGAAAGATCTTTGGATTGGTTTGCATTATTCATTGAGTGCAACTGTCAGTTTTCCATCATGTTGCAGCAGTTTTACTTGTACAAGGAGATGCTCAAAAGCTGTTGGACCTCAACAGACTGTCATCAATTTGCCTTATACTGTGTGTGAGAAAAAATCTAACTTCATGTGATTATAATGTAGATGATAACATAGAAAATCTAAAAATATACAAGTCTTTTAAATAGGCTCTTTGTCAGTATGGTGAAAGGAGTTTTGGTAATCAGATATTGTAGTACGTACCGTGCCAATTATATGGCAAGATTGTCCACGATGTTTGGAAGGATGATGGTTCCTTTTGGTTTGAATTTCTTCTTGGTCAAGACATGAAGAGAAATGAATTGTGGAACTGCCCCTTCCTGCAACTGTTTCACCTTCATTTGTATCTTCAAGAACCATTTGATCCTCTGTGGGAGTTGAGGGCTTTAGAGCAGATCCTGGAATTTTGTAAAAAGTTAACAGGCAAAAAAAAAAAAAAAAAAGTAAACAAATGCTAGATCAGTGGTTACAGCAGTAAACTGCAAATCACAAGGTCCACTCGTCAATTTCATAAACATAAGCAAATTTAATGAAGCAAGAGAGAAAAATCTCAGATTTGAGATTTTATAATCAAAGAATCATGCAAAATTGATGCCAGTGACCAAAAATTCAATTGAATTTAAATGTTAATTTTCATAATTTTTACATCATTCAAAAGAAGAACTGAAGAATTTTCTGGAGATAAAATGATTTTTTCCAATGTAAAGAAATAGAAAGATTTGTATTTTAAAAAAAAAAAAAATTTTTTCAATTATTAGGGAAAAAAATTTCAAAGAATTTAGAGAAACAGAATTTAAATATCTGCATTTGATAAATCTACAGAAACTTAAGGAATTGAACTTTACTAAAACTTTCTGTCTTAATTTAAAATTAATTTAAAATTTTTCTTTACTAAAACTGTCTTAACTGTATCATTGACTGAACATTTTCATCTAAAAAATTATCTAAATTATCTAAAATTATTTAAATTATGTAAAATTATCTAAATTATCCAAATTTGTATCATTAACTGAACATTTTCTTTAAAAAATCATTAAGATTTAAGTTAAATTATAAACATTTTTTTTAATTAAAGAAATATTTCCCTTTAATATAAATACTCCAACATACACATATACCTTACAAAATATCAGTAAAATGCTATTTCATCATAAGTTTTACATATTTTAAAGGATAATTTCTTTGAAAATTAAACTTTGCATGCACACCCTGCCAACAAAAAAAACACCTGCCATAAATTAAAGCTGTATCCTAAAATGAAAAATTTAAACAACAAAATAAGAAATTAAAAAACAGTTTTATTGGCATTTTTTTTTTCATTAAATTGCATATCCTTTTTTTTTTTAACTAACACTTTTTTTCCATAAACTGTTTGAAAATTCTATTTAAATTTTTAAAAGTGACAAAAGAAATATTTCTAAAATTCTTATTTTATTCTGTCATTGATCACATTTGAAACAAATATATATATATATATATATAAGACATTTTTATGTTTATACATTCTTTTTATAGATACAAATATTTAAGTAAATGCTCTGTTTATAATAATATTAAACAACATTTACTGGCCTGAATGTCCAAGAAATTTTCACAGAAAATATTCGTCCTCTGGTAAATGTTGTTTAATACTGTTTATTATAAACAGAGCATTTACTTATTTGTATCTATAAAAAGAATGTATAAACATAAAAATGTCTTAAAATAATTGTTGGACTTTTTCCATTTCATAATATATTATATATATATATATATATATATATATATATATATATACACACACACAACTTACAATAATAAAGTTTTAATAATCAAGAAATAAAGAAATTCATTAATAAACATTCATGGTGGGTGGTAGAGGTTATCTTCTGACAATGTCCATTCTGACCATGCATCTATTTTTGGTCTTGTGTAAAGATTAAAACACAATGTACAAAGTTTTAATATATACAAAATAAATGTTTATATAACACAATATATATACAGAAGGATGCAGTTTTAGGTTAAAGGTCAAAGAGTTCAAATGAAAAAGAGAGAGAGAGAGAATCCAGGAGAATACATATATATTATATATGCTTTCCAATGTAGAAGTTCTCCTGTTTAGAAATGTGATTTATGGAATGTGTGGATGTCAAAAGTCACCAGTGGGTAGTAGGAGGAGGTTGGTAGTGTACGAGTCTATGAGAGACTGTGTGAGTTGCACATGTTTTGGATTTTGACTCTGCATATGTTAGGATGACTGCATCATCAGAGAATGGATAAAATTAGTTCTTCAATTCAGATTTAGGTACACTTTCCATCATGTTATCTAAAGATCCGTCTCGAAATTGCTGCTTCGCATCTGATTGGCTCCTCATATCTTGATTGCAAACCAATCTTGTTTCTGATTCACTCACTAGACTATTATGTTCATATCCTGGTCAGGACAGTTTCCATTTGGTTGGTAAAAATATGACTTCATGGCCTAGTGATTGTGTATATACATCTATTTTCAGGGATAGTGAAATTTTAGTCTCATTGTTATTTGTTTATTTTTTTATCACTTTAAATTGAATATATTACTTTTTAATTTGATAAAAAGATGTCGAGAATTTATCAAGTATGGAAGCTCCATTATACAATAACCATTTCCACTTGAACATCCACAACTGGTCAGTAAGATTTGACTTGTTAGATAATAACAGAAATTTACTACTTTACATACATCTATTTGGATAAACAGACTTTGAAACAGGTAAGCATTTTTTACAGCTATCACATGTAAAAAGTCTCTAACCTTACTAGCATATATTTTTTAGGGAAAAAAAAAAAAAAAAAAAAAAAAAAAGATTTTTCTTATAAAAATGGTTTGATACTTAATCTCACTTTAACATTCACCTCACCTGATACACTTTTATTTAATGATCTGTCTTCATCATTATGAAACTAACAAGAACACCTGGGTATCATTTAACCTGAATTTATAGGTACGTCAATATGCCTGCAGACTCATCTTGAAAAGACAAATTTAAAAAAAAAAAAAATTAAACATAAAATAATCTCTAACTTCCCAAATGAGAGATTTTAAAAAAAAAGATTTCAGAATTATTCAAAGAATTCTTTGGATGATTGAATTCATTCCTTTTATTGCTTCTGACCACAATTTTTCAACTATTCCATTCTATAGCGTTCTTCCAAATTCAGAAATAGAAGATGAATGAAAAAAAACTGTTTCAGAATTAAGAGGCAGTAGTGCATGGTGAATGACCACCTGTTAATTCTGAAACAGCAGAGTCACAGGAAACAAAAGAGACCAATCAAAAATGAGAGACAAATCAAAAAGAGAGAGAGAGAGACCAATCAAAAAGAGAGATCAAAAGACAAGTGTCAGGTTGACTAGAATTTGGAATGAATATTTGCCAGTAGCAGACAGGATTTACAACAGACATCCCTAACATTATGAATCATTCCCCCCTTTTATTAAAAGGAATTTGTTGTAACTCCCCACTAACACCATACTTGATAATGAAATTCAAGGTCCTTCACTGCCTGAAGGATCTTATACATTTCCAGTAAAATCATTTATTGGTGATTTTTGTGACAGTAGACTAAATATTTAGTTCTTTCATGAGTATTAAAAATCAGAAATTGTTTTCTTAATGGCTTCTATAATTAAATTTCTTCTTCAAATAAAATCATTTTTCTGTTCTGAAAGTTGTAACTATATCACAGCTATTATTATTATTATTATTTTGTATGGGAAATAAACAACTAGTAAAATGTTTAGACCAATGAAACTGCTTTAATTAATGTTGCTAATAAGCCTTTCATATAGGTACCCCCAAAGGAACATGATACCTTGCTTGAAGATTTTATTTTAGTTTTAATCTCAAGCTAATAGATTAAATTTGATATTTCCAATAAGCAAAATACTTTGATGTATTTCAAAACTAATTTAAATTAACTGAAAGGAGTTTTTGTTTTGCAATCGCAAAAAATCACTTAGATTTCAGCACCAGTTTTTGCTATCTGTCAACACAATCTTAATTGTCTTTATTGAAAAATTGTTCAAAAATGAAATATACTTTTCTAAAACTTTATTTGAACAATATTAGCTGATTTAAAGTTTAATTAATCCGATTTGAAACAAATATTACTTACTTTTAGTTTAAAATATTGCAAAAATACATTTTTTTAACATGAAGGTAGGTGTTTATTTAAGGTATTGACAGACTGACAGCTTGATCAACAGTCCAATGTTTATCTAATTTTTTTCTACAGGGGATATATAATAGTAAAATTACTTGAGGAATATAATGCGAGTGCCTTTTTTATATAATTTTTAATTACCCAGTAATCTTAAAAATTTAGGAAGATATTCTCCGTAATCAAATGTTTAACTGAATTTTAGGTACTTTGGCTTTAAATTTACAATAGTTATTGTCCTTAATTTCTGTTGTGTATGAACATCCATATTTACAAAATTTATAGACACGCATAAAAAAATTGAAAATTATTTTTAAAATATTGAGGTTCAGTGAATTGTAGTAAGCTTTTTCATTTATGATTAGTATATATATTTTTTACATAATAGCAAACTGAACCAGTACAAATTAATACTGAATTTTAAGATTTTAAACTTTCTAAATTATTCTAATTAAATTTTTTTAAAAAATCAAAACAATTCTTGCAAAAATTCATTATTCATTGAAAAAAAAAAAAAAAAACATTAGTAAAATAATTTAATTCATTAATTTCTGAAAGTTTCATTGAAATCCAACAATTATTTGATTTTTACAAGAATTTCCAAATCAATATTTTTCACTGCAAAAAAGGTAAAATTTCCTATACTAATCTTTGCCCCCCCACACACACACAATGTTAAAACAAAATTTTTAACCAAAATTTTGAACGTTCTAAAAAGGATCAAAAAATATAATTTAATAACCAAAAAGTCCTTTGCTCTTTCCTTTTAATAAAAACAAAGATTTTGATGATAAAACTTTGTTTTTATTAAATTTGGGGCATTTTTTCATCATGGTACACTCATTTTTTTAGTGAATCTGTGGAGGTACCTAAATTGCATATCAAAATCTCTGAAAGAAGAAAAACAACTGAGTAGCATAGGAGAGCAAAGGAAAGGGATTTAATTTGCACAACGCCAGGTATTATAGTGAGGTAGGAGGTTTGAGGAAGAGGGTATAGTTTGTAAGCATAAATCAAATTCACAAAAGACAGTTTAATAATATGAAAATTCAAAGTATAATTTGGAAAGTTATAATAATTAACCTGTAAAAGGAAAGATTTTTGAAGTGAAATCAGCACAAAAATAATAAAAACAACCAAATGAAATGTATCTGTCTATATTTCTGAGATGAAGTATTATTTACATTATTCAGACTATTGTCATCATCTTTGTCACCATATTAATTACAACGTTTCGGCCGTTGTACGCCCCGGCCTTCTTCAGGTGGTTGGAATGTCAAACCCTTTATTTCGCTCAATGGGGTAGACTGTTCTAGTTCCACGTGCCATGTTTAATGGATGCCAGTTGTCAGTTATCTCCTGTTAATTCCACTCTCCAAGTTCTCCACTGTCTTAACTGGGTATTGAACTCACACCTTTGTGTTTTGTCACGGGATCTAACTAAGGCCTTTATCCACTGTGTGACGTGTCCTTGAAACATAATAAATATGGTGACAAAGATCAGGACAATAGTCCAAATAATATAAATGGTGTACAAATGAAATGTGTCCACTTAAAAAGCAAAACAAATCGGCTTTAAAAACACAAGAGAAATGGAGAAAAAAAATACTTCCACACAACAAATACCCTATCAAAGCCAACGATTCCAATGTAGATCAAATACCATGGAATAAGCGGATGACAATTACAACAGATCTCAACGGTTGGTATCACATTTTCCGTCATCTGTTAAAACAACCCCTACATATTTAAATTTTTGTACTTGCTTGATTTTGGTATCTCCAATTTGCTAGCCACATGTTGGGCAGATCCTTTTGTTGACAACCATACATTTTGTCTTCTACCAAAGTGTAATGTCCTGAAATTTAACCGCAGCTCATCTTGCCACATATGTGGAGAACATCAAGAGACAATTGACCACATAATATCTTAAATCTTATGTTCTAAGAAATGCGACACATCTTTTCAATACAGATTGGATGGAACTATTTGAATTGTGGGATTTGCCGATAAATGTGTATTGTAAAAATTTAAGTGGACAAGTGACAAATTTAAAAAGTCAGAGCAAAAACTGAAGGAAGAATTAAAAAAAATGTTTTCCTGATGTTTTGTCTAATGAATTGGGTCAGTGTTCAAAATTCAAGGCAATTTCTCAAGTAAAAAAAAGATTTGACATCAGTATTTAAACCAAAACAGAGCATAGCATTTGCAGTATTGGAACAAATGTTGGACAGACTAGAAAGAATTGGTGTATTGCAGAAAATAGACCATTCAAAATGGGCTGCACCAGTGGTGTACGTAAATAAAAAAAATATAACAATTCATGTTTGTGCAGATTTCTCGACTGGATTAAATAGTTGTCTTTAAGAAAAGAACTACTCATTACCAAGTCCAGAAGAAATTCTTTTAAAGTTGAACAGTAGAATAAAAAGTTCAACATAAAAGACACCAAAATCAACTGAAGAAAAAATTCACTGACGAAAGATCTCAAGAACGAATAAAAATGAGGTACAACATTTTTAATGTGTCAGTACCAAAAAAAATCAGGGGAACAAATTCAAAGAAAAAGCTACAAAATCCACTGGCAAACTTTTTGGAAAGAGGAACGGGAGATAATAATACTAAATAAAAAATATTATTTAATAACGTAATAATCTCAAAGGGGGGGGGAGTGTTGTGGAGTAAAGAGTACACCCAAAGTGACTCTATGAATTTGTCCAGTGCTATGAGTTCCATGTTATGAGGCCATGAGTGGTAGTTGTATTGGAGTCAGTCTTCATACTAACTATGCAGGCATTATGGCAATAGCCTAAACATTATGTATAGAGAATACTAACGAATTACGTTATACCAAGTATAAATGTGTTTTATAACAATAACCTTTCCATAAGGAAGTTACAATAGAAAAATAGAGCACAAGAATTTATATAGAATACAAAGGTTACTCTTGTTCAGCATTCAGGTTAATAAAGAAATCCTGGCCAACCGTCCAGACATGATTGTGAAAAATCATGTTGAAAACACCTCTATTTTGATAGCTGTTGCAGCCCCAGCTGACTAAAACACATCTTTGTAAATGTTTAAGAAACTAAATAAATACATGGACCTTGAGATAGAAATCAGTAGAATACAGCATCTGAAGATGTCAAGATTACCTGACGTTGTCTGAGCTTTCGAAATGCTATCAAAAGGAACAAAATGTGGAACAAATTCCTGGTAGCCTCAAAATATATGAATTGCAAAAATAATCATTACTCGTGGATACGTTTCACATCTTGCATAGATTTCTCTCTATGCAGTGATCACAATTACATTTTATTCTTCACTCTGATTGTACGGTACCTGCTTGCATCATCTAATAAAAAATAAAATTTGTTGACTCTTGAAGTCTTTAGTTGAGACATGAGGGTAGCTTGTATGACAAAAGGCAAAGACAAAACACAGTAATAACCAAAAAAAAAAAAAATTACCATTTTTATCTGATGGTTTCTGTGGAGATTTTGATAAGGAATTGGATTTGGCAATAATGGCACTGCACAGACCCCATTCTTCAAGAATAAACTTGGTAAGCACTTCAACCATGCTCCGCAGGGGATTCTCAACTTGCTGAATATAGAAAAATGTTTTGAAATTATACAAAAAAATGAAAAAAAAAAACGAAAAATATAAAAATTAAATTATAAAATATGTCCTTCAACCTAATGAACATTGTCTAAAGTTTTAAGATGAAGTATTTTCAATATTCCATAGAAATTTTTTAACAATTTTCTTCATCTTTGTTGATTTTAACATTATTGTTGTCCCTGCTTTCTCAAGTGTCTGCTACAACAGACAGTCTTTGAAAATTCCTTCATCCATTATTCATGCATAAAGAATGAAAAAAACAGGTCAAAAATTGGTCACCTATTGCTTCATTCATTTGAAGAGCTACAGGAAGCCAAAAATGGTTGTCAGCATAAAAAAACAGAAAATTGAATACAAAGCTCGAATTTCACATGAGGTTACTCATTTTCATTTCATATTAATACTCTTGGGAAAAACAGGAAACCACTTCTCCCTAATCTCTGTCCCATGACCTGATATTTTAAGAAAAAGAGGTCTTGTAATTGGTATGTCACAACAATGAGCAAAGAACGTTGCCAAACTAATCACCTGCAAAACTTCAGCCCAGACAATATCTTGTATTAATTAAAATGACATCACAGTGATGAATTCTATTTTTTTTCTACTGAACTCACAATAGATGACTTTCACTGCCTGACTGAAAGAGTGAACTTCCAACCAACGAGGTAACAACATAGACTTAACCAACACTTTTACATACTAAGCCATGATTTCATATATATTGCAAAAAAAAATAAATAAATAAAAAATAAAAAAAAAGGTGGGGATAATTACATCTCATTATCTGATAGTTGAGAGTTCAATTCCTGGCTAAGACAGTAAGTCATGTATTGTGGTACAAGAGAGAAAAAACAAAAGCAGCATCATGATAATGAATTAGCAGATACAAGTTATCTCCCCTAGAATGGACAGCAGAATGAGTACAATCAACTCCTGTAGAGTGAATAAAAAGTTACGAAGTACAACTGAAAAAGGTACAACAGTTGGAATATTGTGACATATCACCAAGATGAGGATATTAGTTTAAATAGATTAAGGTATAATCAAAATAATGAAAATCTAGTTAAACCAAATCCATCCATGAGAGTAATTAATGGAAAACCCATTACTTCATTAACATGCAGCTGCCAACACCTGTCGACATTTGCAGACAAGACAAGCAAAATAATATGAATCTTGCCGGTGCCAATATTAATATTCCTAACAGTGCATTTGCACCTTATTAAGAGTTTAATGAATGTGGTCTTGTACTAAAGTGCAACATTTTACAAACTTTTAAAACTGAAGTTTCAACTCACCTTGTTGCGCTTCATCAGTTTCTCAATATGAAGCTGTTTCATCAGTGCAACTCTGTTGCTGATGCTTTGTTCTGTACGGGGCATCTCCTCATCCATTGCACGAAGGGTAGCCTTCAGCCCCTGAAGGAAACATTTAAATATTTACAATTCCTCAATAAAACAATGAACTGTACTATAATGACCCTACATGCTCGATAGATCAGTTAGGTTAAATGTAGTATTGCTTTTAAATTCAGTTTGGTTTGGTTTGTTTTATGGCATATCAACTTCAATGGGTTATTTAATGCTGACAAGATATTTTTTTTGCTGCTAATATTTTTTTTCAAAAATGTATTGCTGGTAATAATTTTTATACTTTCATTATGTTTTGACCCCTTTTTTTGTGGGGGGGGGACTATTTGCCTATAGCTGGGACCCTGACAGGTGCTACTACACCAGGTCAGGGTGGATCTGGGAACACCAACAACTAAAAGAGGGTTCCACGCTCCTCAAAACCACTTGATCAAAGGCCTTGCTGTCGGATGAAGTTTATCGTCATACCCAGGATGGTCTTTTAAATTCTTTAACCTTTGTCAGACATTTTAGGTAGCCTCCCAAAAACTCCTCACAGTAAGTTGCAGTAATTTTTTTTCCATTTCTCGTTCCAGAATTATTGTAACTGATTTGGGTTTGTAGACATCATTTCTTAAGCATAGTCTTTCCTTTCTGCCCATATTTGTTGTCTGTAACTTTTGTTACAACTCTGGAGTATTGCTTGGGATAATTATCCATTTGGACAACCAATTTGAGAGCAAGCTTTAACTATCTGGCTGATACTTTAATACAACCTTTCTCAAGTACCCAGGTGCACTTAATGCACCCTGAAAGGTGAGCCAGGTGTGCCTCAAGTTAACAGAAGAGTACTTTATGAATTATTTTTATATTTAAATCATCTTTATTTTTAAAAAGCATAGAGACATCAAGCAGATGGCTTCCATGTCTAAGTCTTTGTCATTTGATATTGTAAACAGGATGCTAAATTCCTTAACAGAAGAGGAACTGGTCGCTATATCAACTGATTGTGGCTTACAAATCAAGAGGCGTCCATTGATCAATTTTGCATTTCCATTAAAGACTATCCTTCAAGAGCTAATAAAGTGTTGAACATTTTATTGCAATTTTCTGCATCACACGTCTGCGAATTAGGATTCTGTGCCCTTACCAGTATTAAATGCAAAAATAGATCAAATATTAAATGCCTGTTGCATATTTAAATATACAATGTCATGTCTTAAAATAAAATAAAGTCTTAAAATACAATAAAATAAAATTTTAAAATACAATAAAAAATAAAATAAAGTCTTAAAATAAAATAAAGGCATATTTCAAAAGACATATTTTTCTTATTTTCAAATTTCATAATTTTTTCCTATTATTTTCAAATTTCATAATTTTTCCTTATTAAAATTTAAAGTGCACCCCAGAGTTGTAGTTATTCTAAAAGTGTAGCCTGAAGTAAATAAGATTAAAAAATCTGTTCTAATCTTTCCACATATTTTCTATTTGACACCATCCATTTTGTGAAGTGCACGAATCAGTTTTTCAGCAAAGCATCCCCCCATAACATGAGGGTTGCAACCCCTGTGTTTCAAACATAGAATGGTATTCTTTGGTTTGCAAGTTTCTTTTCAATATTAGTTTTATTGAACCAGAAGACATTTATGCAAAAACTATTAATCTTCTTCCCAACTGCATTTTGAAACAATAGACTGCCTTTTATGGTGAGTGTGAAACATTGGCGCTTTCCTTGCTGAGCAGCTTTTCAGGTTATATTGATATAACAGTTGTTTAACAGCATCTCCACAAGTTCTTTTCTTTTTCTTCTAGAATTGATTTACCTTTTTCATACAAAAGCCCATTCATATCATGGAGACAATATGTGCCTGCCTCCTGAGTGCTATGACAACTGCATAGTCTGATCATTTTTACTCTTTTGTACAGATAAACATGGTACCTTCAGACATTTAGAAGTTGCACCCAAAGATGGATCAGACTTTGGAGGTGAATAATTGCTTTTCTGAAATGTTTGTTTATTCCTTTTGATTTTCCTAAGATATCAAGCAAAGAGACAATGGGTTTGAATGTAGATCGCAAAATACATTGGCAGTACACTTCCATTTGAGACACATGATATCAATTAGCCTTAAAGAAGATTCTATAACAATGACATCCTTTTCTTTGTGCGTGTAAACTTCTGACCCACTGGGAATGTGAGGAAAGAAATAATAAATCATTTTCTCCAATAGTATTTCACATTTCATATTGTTAAAATGAAGTATTGATCCTAACAGACCTTAAAATAGGACATCTTTACTTGATTAAATGTTAAAAATTATGAAAAATAAACAAGTTTACATGTATTTTGTAAAATATTCCACAGACTTTATTAATTCACTTGAGACAGTTGCTAGTTGAAGCTTATGAATTCTACTAAAAAGGATGTGAAAATTTGCATAACTAAAGCCATGGCCACCTTGAGTAAAATAAGTGTAATCTGGAAATCTAATCTACCAGACAATCTCAAGCAGTGATTTTTCTGCTTCACTGTAGAGGAGATTTTAATGCATGGTGCCACAGCTTGGACATTAACTATAACCTTAGAGTCTAAGTTTAATGAAACCTACACTAAGATGCTGAGAACTACACTTAACATTTCTTGGAGACAACATCCAACTCAATGCACGAATCCTTGATATCCACACAATCTTGCACGAACACAGAATGCACTTTGCAGGACACTGCTGGTGAGTAAAACAAGAACTTGCGAGCGATCTACTGCTATAGACACCTAGCCATGGCACAAGATATGCTGGTCACCAAGAAATCACCTACAATGTGCAGCTATGTTATGACACAGAATGTCACAATAATGACCTTCTGACCTTGATGCAAGACTGTGATGGTTGGCATGATAGACTCATAAATGTCTAAGCTAGCTCAACCAAATAAAATAACATTTATTTGGTTACCCTACCACACACACAAAAGCAACTGAAATTCATTTGCAATATCATTTTTAGTACAATCTTCATCAAATGAATGGTTTTTGAATTAAAATATCAATACTAACCCAGGATGTCCCAACATTACCCTGGAACCAAGTGTAAAGACTTGTATTATATTTCCTTTCATTTGAATTAATTTATATTTTTGTAAACATCTAGATGAATGTAAAATAATTCTTTTAGTTGTTCATTTCTTCCTTTCAGATAGTGACAGAGAGAGAGAGTCTGGGAAACACACACACACATATTATTTATTAAAATTGGAGTAGATTTGAATAGCAAAATTAAATCAGAGCATTTTGTTTACTGATAGGGAAATCTGATCTAGGGCAGAAGTTGTACCCATTGAATCTGGGTCATCAGTTGACAATGGAAATGGTCGAAATAATTTTTATCAGTTAAAAAGTGAAATAGAGCTGAGTAAGCTAGAAGGAACTTTGGAATTCACATGATTTTGGTTGAAGAAGCCAGAACCCCGTGATAATTGCATGCAAAGTAGTAGGGCCGAGGGTCAGTTATAACCAGCCGGGTTTATCTATATAAATGCATAGTTATGCTGAAAAAATGCTGGAGAAAATTCTTGAAGTGAGAATGGGCCCGGGCGAGTGTTGGGAGGAGGAACTATAACTTTAAGCCCTGCACAGAAATCTTTATCCCTCCATTGTAATAGTCATATATATTTTTTTGAGACGATTTAACAACAAGATAATCCCATACACTCTCACTCTGTCTAGAATCCAGTGTATGAGTTTTTTTTACTTTTCTTTTCTGTAACCTGTTTCTCTTCTCTACTATTCTTTTCTGCTATATAAAAGACATTAACAATTCAACCATTGAATCTATGTTTATCCAGCTTTCTGCAAATATTAATTAATTTTTTTTTTTTTTGCTGCATTCTAAATTTCTTAGCACAGACTCCCCAGCCATGTCTACATCTTCAGTCGACCATGAATGGACGGACATCACTTCTGCTTTCTGGATCAAACAAATCACAACGTAGGCAGGAAGCAGGATTAAACCAGTGGACCAATCGAATAATCTACAGATGCTCAGGGGACCTATGGCCACTCCCTTAAGTTCGGTTAGGACCAAGTAGACATCTCAACCCCGAGAGTAAGACGCCGGAGGTTGAGGGGCCAGGATGAAAGTGTTAGAAGATTTTGGAGGAGGATAATAATGGTTTAGTGATACAAGTTTTACTAATTAATCCATAGCTGGGGAGAGAAGAGGTGAATTCATACCTTTCCAAGTCTACTAGTCACCCATGCTTAGAATATTGCTACCATATATGTTCCAGTGCCTTTTGCTTCCTTGTTGAAATCCAAAGAAGAATCAGCAATATTACTGGCCATGATCTGACATCTCAGCATCAGTCTTTTTCCCACCGTCATAAGGTTGCCTGCTGTTGCTTTTTCAATAAATACTTTCATGGTAATCGTTTAGATGAGCTTTTCACTATGGTGACCAGACACATTGAATTTAAGCTCAATGCTAGACTGGCAACGAGATCTCACCAATTTACAGTCGAATTGGCCGCTAGATGTAACTGTAAGCTCTATGCTAACAGTTTCTTTTCTCGCACTTCTCACTTGTGGAACTCGTTTCTGGCTCTGTGCTTTCCAGCCAACTTTAATCTGCAAAAATTTAAATGCAATGTCAATCACTATTTACTGTCTACCTAATTACTTTTCTTTTGTTCTCAATCCTTAGCAATGTTTTTTTGTTTCTAATTCTTCCACACCCAGTAATCACTTGTGTCTTAGTGGCTTTAATGCCTTGCTTGAGGAGAACTCAGTTAAAGAAAAAAAAAAGTGAATATATCAAACCCAACTGGGATTGGAATTCAGCTCTCTGAGTTCCAATTCTGAACCCTTATCCATTACACCACCCACACATCCAAGTTTACAGCACCTGGTATTCCCAAGCAGTCAACCACCTAGGTATTGACCAGGCTCTATGTTGCTTAACTATGGCGATCATATGGGAACCAGTGTTTCGTGAAACATCTGTAAGACTTCTCAGTAAATAATTTTATGCAACAAGCAACTTCAAGGTTTTCCACAAAATAGTTAAATG